TTTTTGGTGCCAGTAACACTTTGACGTTTCAACAACTCAGAGATCTTTACAACCAGTAAACTTCTATTTCCACGCGACGAACTCGTCTTTCTTCTGTACCATTCTTGGGTTTGATAAATTGGATAAGCTTTTCATACTTTAGGAAATGATCCTTTTCTGTTATACATTCAATCATATCTCTATGCCCTAAAAATTCTAAGGTAACAAATTTTGAAGGAGTTACCAAATACTAGACCTTTTTATTGCATGTGAATTTTATCTTATGGGCGTATACATAAACGTTATCATAGCTGTATTATTTTAATTAAAAATAAGGATTATTAAAAAATAAGAATTATGTGGTTTTCTTTTTTACCGAATGACGCATAAGTCGCAGCCGTACAATAAATTGTCTGAAAGGGACTTCGAGCGCATTGTTTACCGTTTAACGACTTTATGGCTAACTTTAAAAGGTACTAATGACTGGGCTGAGTCTCTTAGAAGACACGAAACGCTAAGTATATATTCAAAACACTAGAATATGGAAGCCTAGTTTGAGAAATTATGTTGGTCAACATGTCATGTGATCACGTCATGTATAATAAACAAACCCAAATTCCTTCATTAAAACTCTATCCACTGTCATGAGAGGATAACAGTCGAACTAACGCTCGTGTAAAAGTCTATTCGCATCACGGTCCAATTTTTAAAAACTAGGCTAGCGCCACATTTTGATCCCGATTTTTTGTTTAAGATATTTATGCCCAAATTCGGTTAAAAAGAAAACTCATTTGCTGTAAGTGGAAAAATTGTACCTAAAGGTACAACCCTAAAACAATCCAAGCCATAGACAGTTTGTCTATACCATGACTTCATGAAAAGTGGCGTCACGATCGAATTTTTAAAAACTTAGGCTAGCCCTTCATTTCAATCCCGCCATTTAAACTCAGTTTACTTGAAAGAATCACAGAAAGAGCTTCGAATCAAACAATTTAAAGAGCAGTTTTATTGGCGACGGTTAAGGTGTGTGGTAGAAATCATGATTAAAGTAGAGCTTCGATGACTTATTTGGGACAGTTGAGGACACACAATCTATAGCTGAAATACCCTTCTTCTGAACTAGATTTCCTTTTTTTCTGCCTCGTGTTCCTTAAAAGTGCATTTTTCTTGAGGAACACGAGTTGAATTTTTTTTTTCGTGTATACTATTATCGGGTAAAGGTATTGCATTATGCAATTCCATTTCTGTATGACATTGTGCAAAACCCCTGAATTAATTAAACTTGTCGAATTACCATATTAACACTGGGTAGTTTGGTCCTACAAGCTTCTTGTAGGCCACAAACACATTCTTCTTAATCTCCAGCAACATTTTACGAAACATCAAGTTCAACACAGGAGGCGACAAATTATTAGGAAAACAAAAAGGAAGTTGATCATAACGAGGGAAATGGAATCCACTTTCGAAATTTTGACGATTCGCGCTTGGCTAACTCGCGTTGTAGAGCGCCGGACTCCAGACCGGGTAAACACTCAGTGTCGTAAAATAATTGAGGAGAATTTGCTGCCTTTACTTTGACAATGGTTACTTATAAAACATTCTAGTCTTCTCGGGGAAGGAAGATAAGCCGTAGGCCCCTCCTCTTTTCTCTTCTCTGAAATGGTTAACAGGGACGTTAAAGAACCAACGCACTTCTCGCTAAGAGTAGGGAATGTTGCTCCCGGTCTTGCGGTCTGGCCTTGACACTGTTTACACTGTATACATATTTAAAATTCCCAATCAATCTTACAATATCGCTGACTCCGAAGGTAATCTGCTTTTTGTGCACTTAGAGAAATATTTTTGTACTAGTAAAAATATTTTTTGCTTGAATCAATATGTTTGTACAGTGATAACTATTTTGTCTTTCACTTGTTTGCCGCCGTGGCAAACACTTTTCAGTACGAATTTTGATGTATTAATGCCACTACAAATATTTTTGGCCGGAGACATTTCGATGGCTCTGATACCCACAAGGTACGACTAGAAATTGAACTTCCCGTGGCATACTTTAAAGATTGGACACAAACTACAGCGACAATAAAGTCTAATGAAACTAGGAATTAACTATAATATTCTCAGCTTACAACACAACCCTAAGTTAGGTAACACTACTGTGTTGAACCAATCTCACTCAATCATAGAGAGTTAAACAAGACATCTTGAATAGAATGATTAGCAAAGGAGTAATTGAGGCTTAAAAACCTGTAGTAGTTTAAGTTTTAACTATTTTCAATAAAGTAAGCAAAAAACAGGCACTGCATTAGCTAAAACATCAACCTGTAACCGATAGAATCAGAGTCCATTTCAGGTTTGCCACTATTTTACCAGCAAAAAAAGTACGTAAGATGAATCAGTTCAGCACTCAAAGACGTGGCATTTAACAGTTCCATGCTCTAATGGCAAGACGCTGTAGCTGCAAGAGATTCTAAGCTCGATGATCGATCAATGTCGATGAATCTTCGAATAGCTTTAGTTATTTCTATTTTAAAACAATGAAGTTTTGGGAGACCAAACACTGCTGTTTCTGTTGCATAAAAGTCAAGTGGCAATTAATCACCATTTATTGTCAAATATTCATTTTCTTTCGGAAATATTCTACAACTTTGTTTATTGAAGTTAAGGTCACTAATTTTTTAGATGAAACCATCTTGTATATGCTTGTAAGCTGAAGTCTAACAAATTTAATATTTAGGGATATCCAATATCTTTTAAGTAATGTAAATGAGTAGTTACTGTATATTTAGGGCTTTTTGACGACCGTTGCCCTAAATATTTTGTCGCAATAAGACGTCTCCAAGGTGAAACAAACGTGATTTACCGACTCAGTCCTCAGCATTTGGTTTTATTGCACCAATATGTACCCCATGGCTTTGATACTCTTCCCTCCATCATCTAACGTATGATGGAGTGCCTCGTTTCCGCAAGATTTTACGCCCAGTTTTAAATAACTTCCTGTACCAAATCCAATCAAAGAGTTGCACGAGTAGCAGTTGTTTTGGTTATTGCTAACAATACCAATTCTGGCTTTAGAGCGATCACTTCGACCACTAAAGGCATTGAATCCTTCCCTGTTACAGTTGGGCTGTAAAGTGGCGTTGCAGCCAATCAACTTTTTCCACCCGTCACGACTCAGTGAGGTTTTGCGGTATTGGCCATCAGCAATTAGTGAGTGCAGAGAGTCAACCAACTTATTGATGACAATAAACCTGAGCTGTTGGTTGATCTTCATTCCGAGACAGATCTTGGAGAATGATGTGTTCCAGTAGGTGGGTAGCTTTGTTTCCTGTTTGTCAAACCCAGTCTCTCCACCGGGGCGGTTGTATTCATCGTAATTGCTCCAATACTGCGAGTCATAATGGAAGGTGGTCTGAAATGTAGTAACAATACATTTTTGTGTTTTCTCTGAATTGATGGATTTTCCCTGTCTACTTCCTGCCGTGTATCTGTATTTATTGATTTATTACCTGACTCATTTGTTTTACCATGGAATTGACCTCGATATTTTTGACATCGTGTCGTCAATGCTAAGGTAATTTTTGTTTTCAACACAGACCTGGCACCGTAGATCAGTGCATGACATGTCAATCTAGTTACAGGGAGTTTTTCTGTGTTTTCATTTGCACCCCAGTCAAGAGTCATTGAAATGATAAAGGATGACAGACATCGTTTTTCTTTATAGAAATTCTGATCTCTTTGTACATAGACAAAATTGGAGTGTGATTGTGTCACGATAAAAGTAACCTGATCCCCCCTCCTCCCACGTAAGTCTCTGTAATATTCCTATGATCCATGATCCCTCCTCATTGGCAAGTTTATTGGTACTCAATGTTCTATGGTCCTCCAACAATCCTCTTCTACCTATCCACGTCCCCCCCTGCTGTTCAAACGATGAACAATGACTGCTATTTAAATATGGTTGATATCTACATAACCCTCAAAGAGTGTGAAAATTTAACTCAGACAAGAGATTTTCCTTGTTCCAAACAGCCTTTAAACTTATTATGATCTCAATAGTTTGTGTTCCTAATCTAGCTCTTACATGATACTAGAGACAAATAGGTTTGGATATACTTATGGCTGATTTTTAACTTTTCTTTTTCTACAATCATTGCACACATTAAGTCTCGAAATTTACGTTGAACAAAGTCAGGTCTTCCTCCATTACCGTCTGGATGAAAAACAAAAGGCATTCATATATAGAAGGCGCGTTTTTAACTTGCAACGTTTCGCAAGAGAGCGGGTTTATACAGGAAATGAATTATTCAATAAAAGTATGCACCTCTCTGCCGTCAATCTTCGTGACTGGCGTCCATCCTCCGTCTCCACACCCAAAATTTCCCATATGACAAAAAACGGACAATGGTTGGGAGTCAACAACAAGGGTAACCACACCACTCATACTGGATCTTTTTAATCAAAATATTATAAAGAAACAAAGCATATAAGTAAACTATGACGGTGAAATAAAACTAGAGCTTATAAAGATAATTATCATTAGTGGCAATGAAAATCACATTGGCATAGATACTGACTGATAATGATAATGATTGAACACATGAGCAAATGAAAAGTTAATCCTTCAGGAAGAGGCGTCAATTTCTGCGGGATATAAACAACAGCCTTCATAGCAACAATGCTCGGTTATTTGTCCTGGAATTAAACAGGTGTCTAGGAGCTTATTATTTTTCACTTCTTCTGTAAGGACGGGAAGACACTCAACCAAGTGAATCGAATTTAAACGGAGTACTTTCTTTGCATGGTGATTTGAAAATTAGGGTATATTTGGTGACGTGATGGGCTTAAACCAATTGCGGGAAAGCGGAATATTTGATGTACTACATAAATGACATCCGAATATCAACTCTACTTACGTGTCCTGATCATGAATTTCTTTGCACGAAGTAGGTCCTAGAAAAAGTTTTAAAATAAGTTTATTAGGATTATAAAATTATATTGTCTCCCTATTGCTGTTGTTGTTTTTTTTAGTATTATTATAATTCAGCATCATGGCTGGATTGAAACATTTTCTTTTTTAAAGGACTTTCTTGGGCAGCATGCATGTTACTTCGAATCCTTGAAAAGAAGAGACGTCGGTAGAGCGTCCCGTCATCATTGATAATAACTATTTCCAGTCTTGCTTGAAGTTGCTAACTAACTGATGGCTCTCCAAGTATGTAATGCACTTATTTTTGAAGAATAGTTAATCATTCTGCTCTTTTTTATGTCAGTTTACTTTCCTGTATGTGTTTCTCTCTCTTTCACTCTCTCTTTCGTTGTCTTTTCTGTTGCTTAGAAATGACGATGTAAATGAAACATGTTTATGCAATAAGTATACGACTTTATGCTTCTCAATAATTGAATTGAACATCTCACTTGAAAGACATAGAGGATTTTTGGTTTACCTATTTGGCACCTCGGACCTTTGTATCCAGCAGGACATAGACACCGATAAAGTTTGTCTGTAAAACTGCTTTGACAAGTGGCGTTGTTCTCGCAAGGATTTTCAGCACACATGTTCTTGCGAAAGAAAAAAAGAACCTTCACGCTCAATATAACACGACTTAGCCCAAACAGCGTATTATGCAAGTTTGTTGAAAAGTCTCACCTGAACTGGTTCTGCGATATTCACTTAAGAGAAACTTATACAAGAGCCATTCAATTCAAATATTGTTTTTCTGTGGAGGTGGGTCACGGTTGATACATCTAAGAATATGAGGGGATGAACAAATAGAATGAGCGAATAGATAACTATACAAAATAAGGAGGGAACGAGTGAAATGATAATCGGAAAAAGCATATCTCGTTTAGCCTTTAAGGAAGACAAACGTTAGAAGAAGGCCAGGATAATTATTTTATGCCCAGGAGAAGTTACTGATCATTTATCTTGGATGACGCCCTCTCGATTATGGCTGCAATACATTATAGACGGTGTTTCCTTGAAAAGGCTGCCTCGAAATATCAAAAAACACAGAGGAGAGTCCTTACCACGATGTGATAGTGATGTGAGCTTTCGTTTCTTCTGAATTCCCTGGGGTTGCTGTACTTGTCAGATGACAGTAACTCGCACCATAGTCTTATTTCGAAAGCCAAGTTCACAGAAATACAGGAAGGATGTTGAAGGCATCTCATGGTACACTCCAAGTCGTCGTGCACTGAAAATATTCCAACTCGAGGCACATTCAGATAACGGAACTCATCTATAGAAAACAGACCTTGTCTGACGTCTGTTACTCGATGGTCTGCATTGTTCTTTTCTGATGATCAAGTCAATGGAGCACTGTTAGCGAGTAGCTAAATACATCTGTTATAATTTATAATGACTTTGTTCCGTTATATGTTCAAACATAACTCTTCCCAGAAAATTCAAGGGTAATGCATATTACAGAAGTTAATAAATAACAAACCTTTTTCTTAAATGCGAATTTGATCGTCATCATATCTTTTCAGTCGTTGCTGCAAACGCTTCTCTAAAGAGCGCTTTCTCTTTGACGTTGCACAATTAATGTCATTTTTTCTCCCAACATTTGGAAAGTTAAACTACTACATTTTTATGGTAATGACACTCAGTAAACTATAAGACCGCAAGTGCAGCTCTAGTGTCAACTATGATAACCTGCAGAAAAGAAGTACTTCCTTTCGTTTTTCAGTCAATCGGAGGCAAGCGTGAGGCAGCGCAAAGGGCGGATAACACGCGGAGAGAGAGACGTAGAAAAAAAATTAATTAATAAAAACTAAATAACTAATAAAGTAAATAGGAATTATGCACTTTTTCTTACGGAATGCTTTATAAGTCACAACCATACACTTAAGTGATGCTCTCGCTAAGAGCGGTCCTCTCGACTTCCCATCGAAGAAAAAGTTTACTTTTATTTTTTTGCCCATGATAAGGGTTTAGGACATGTTTCAAAAATAGTTGCGTCGTTACAAGCCAACTTTTTTTTTTTGGTAAGACCACCCAATATTTATGAAAGAATTCTCAAAATGCAGGCGTAAATTGGGCCAAAAAGGTAACCGATTGCCTTAATCCTTTAACCTCTATGAGTGACAAAGACAGAATTTCTCCTTACAATAGCAATACAATATCAACCAGATAAGTGATGGGAATAAAGAAAAATATCATTTTGGGGATAATTAGTTGATCCAATACTAAATTCTCTGAACTAACTTCATAAGAATTGTATGGTTGACAGTAAGGAGAATTTCAAATTTGATCTGAGACTTAAAGGGTTAAAACCGTGGGTATCTGTCTAACTTTCATCCATCGACATCTTGAAAACAACGCAAATCCGCGCGTTTGATCAATTGCGCTCGAAATATTATTTTGACCGTTTAAACTTCGTTTGTTCATCTTCTACGTTGAGAATTTTAGGTTTTCGAGACAACTGGATGGAAAATAGATCCCAAGTTGTCCTAAAAGGTTGCATAAATATGATCCGTGTGGTTACCCTTCCTTGACTTACAAAGTAAAAAAAGGTGACCGGATGGCGACTCCTCGATAATTATCGTTGAATCAGGCCATGAACCACGCACAGTGTGGAGAAGATCGAAATTGAAATATAAAATTTGACACTCTGGTCCTTACAGACATTCCGCGTAGCTTACAGGGACACACAAACAAGCTGAAATACGTTTCGGTGTTATTTTCAAATAACACGCATACACTCTGAAATAATTCTTGCAGTTTCTTCTAATAATTTGCACACGGAACGCAATGAACTGGCGCTCTTTCTTAAAATTTGTTTCCATCATTAAAGATTTAATGTTGTTATGCACCACAACATTCTTGAGGGACATACTTAACATTTCCGTGCGACCATCAAAACCAAATAGACAAATATCCGGCTTGATGTATAGCTTATTTTTTTCCCTCTTTCGCGGTTATAAAAATTGAAACCAACCACTAGGTAATGCAACGAATTAGAATCGAAAGTTATAAAATGAATCGGAGAATGCTACATTTTACTGATAATTTTATCTCATGAGATGTTTACCTGTTTCGTGGAAGACAAAGATTATGATGGCTGCGGAATATTATTGCAAATATTGCAAGGGATTACAAGCCATTACAGACCATTAAGATTGTTGCGTAGACTATCCTAAAAGGTGTTTAGTGAGCGGCATAAGTCTCTTAGCCGAGACGAAACACTAAGTTTATATTCAAAACACAAGAATATGGAAAGTCTGTACTTTTAGAAAGTCTGTTAGTCAGCACGCAATGTGATCACGTCATGTGTAATAAACAAACCTAACTTTCTTCAATAAAACTCTTTTTACTGTTTCAAGAGGATAAAAGTCGAACTAACGCTTGTGTGAAAGTCCATCCTGATGTTGTTTACCCAGCCTAAAAGGTGGTAACCAATTGACAAAGATGTTAATTAACCAATACTTTAATTAATGATTGGAAGCTATTTCATCGCTCTGTTGTGTTTTTCTGACAGCTAATTATAATTGTAAATAATCTCACTATGTCAGTTAAATAGACGAGCTTGAATTTGACAGTTCCGCTTTACGCTTTCGTCTAACGGTTGTATTTTTGAGACAGCTAATTATAATTCTAAATTAACACCTCATTATGTCAGTTGAATAGACGAGCTTTAATTTGACAGTTCTGCTTTTATAAAATGATATTTAAACAAGTAGCTCTCTCACCCGTAGGTGATCTACAGAGAGGTCCTAATCCAAAATAACAATAAATTGTTAAAAGTAAATAAAAATTGCAGATATTAAAAAAGTACAAAAGTATACTATGGATTAAAAGATTTCAAAAAATTATTCCTAAACTGACATATAGTGCCGGAGTTCTTCAAGTCACTGTCCAAGGCATTCCAGTCTTTAAGGCATGATAACAGGTTCTTTGTTTACCCCAGTTCCGTTTATCTGATGGAAGTCTAAGATGATCTTTGCAACGAGTGTTGTATCTATGTACATCGCTGTTTCTAGATAATTCCAATTTGTGAGATGTAATTCCATTCACGCAATTATAAACATACTAGCAGCGATGGAAGTGCCTGAGTTGTTTTAAATTTAACCAGCCGAGCTGATTGAGAGCATCGGTTGCAGAAGAGTACAATGGTTTATCTAGAACAAGTTTTGCCGCCTTATTCTGCAACACCTGCAGATTGTTCATTAAGACAGCGTTATCCTTATCACCCCATATCAGCATAATCAAGGATGGGAAGGACAAGGCTTTTGTAATAAAGAAGGCATGCGTTATACGGCAACAAATGCTTGATTCTACGCAAAAGACCTAATCTCTGGTTCACTTTAGATATTAAATGTTCCACATGTTCGGTCCACGTAAAGTTGGAGAATAATTTTCTTTCACCTAACAGTTATAAACTGTAGATTTTCTTAAGAGAACCTTTGACCGCCTAAGCCGAGGACCGGAATCTCCGGGGGAAAAAAAGTTGAACGTAGCAATTTGTGGACAACTTGCGTCGGCAAAGGAATAAGAGTACTTCTACTATTTGGCCAAAGTTATGAAGATGGTTTTACGCCATGAATGCCTAGTTGTGTTTATACTGCTACATTTGTTTTCATGCCAAAACGAAAATAAACGGCTGGAAATAGGGCTCATCCTTTTTAAAAGTTTACCTTTTTTTCTAATCTTTCGAAATATTCACGCTATATTCTTAAAACTTTTTTGCGAATCTAATTTTCCGTAATCCAAATATTACTTTTGCATTTTAGAAAAGCATTTAGACTCAGTTCACTTGAAAAAAGTACATAAAGAGCTTTAAGTCAAACAATTCAAAGAGCAGTTTGAATGGCATCGGCTGAAATGCGTGGGAGAAAGTTATGATTTAAGTTGAGCTGCGATGACTTAATTATTTGGGACGGATGAGACACACAATCTATCAGTGAAATACGCTTCTTCTGAGCTTGTTTTCCTTTTTTACTGCAACTTCTTTCCTTAAAACTGCATTTTCCTTAGACAATCCGAGTTGAATTTTTTTATGACATTTCTATCAGGGAAGGGTATTGCATTATAGAATTCCATTTCTGCATGACACTGTGTAAAACACCTGTCAAATTAACGTACTAACACTGGCTAGTTTGGTGCTAGAAACTTCTTGTAGGACAAAAATGTCTTCTTCCTAATTCCAGCAGCATTTTGTCAAACTTCAAGTACTACACAGGAGGCGACAATTTATTAAAAAGAAAAACACATTTCTGTTGAAGTCGGTTACATATCGTCCTAATTACGTATGGAAATATAATTCCCGAAATATTTCTTGCAGGAAAACAAAAGGGGAAAATGATAATGAAGGAAATGGAATCCGCTTTCGAAAGTTTGACGATTCGCGCTCGGTTAACTCACGTTGTGGAGCGCAGAACTGGTGTGCAGGAGGTGCCAACACCCAGGGTCGTAAAATAATTACGACCGAGCGACCAGTGGCTGCCTTTGCTATGACAAAGGCTACTTATTAGACATTCTAGTCTCCTCGGGGAAGGAAGATAAGCCGTAAGCTCCGTCCCCTTTCTCTTCTCTGAAATGGTTAACAGGGGACGTTAAAGAACCAACGCGCTTCTCGCAAAGTGTTGGGAACGTAGCTCCCGGTGTTGTGGTCTGCCCTTGTCATTGTTTACATACGCCCACATTTAAAAACCAGCTCTGAGCTGAACTGGGCTAGCCTGTCTAAATATCGCAAATACATATACACATTATATTATTATGAAACGTGTGGAAATAATTCTTACTATTAAATACGAATTACACTTAATTATAAATCACCTTGTGATCCAAATGCAGTGGATATCATGACACAAAACAGCAATTGATGGACACGGTTGAAAACGGAACACATGATACAAGACTCATTAGAAACGTTCCCTGATAATCTGAACCTAAATAAAGTTCTGTAACCAATGGTTTCGTTTTAAATAGTTTTGACATTTGCCTTAGGCCATGAGGAGCTGCGAGCACTATGTTCTCTCTTTATCATTATTTATTAATGTTTATTTAATACATTTTTTTAGCGACCAGTGGTATTCCTTAGTTGCTATTAAAAAAATTCCGATACCACCACAAAGTAAAAGCTATAGAATGTTTAAAATTAACTGAAACCCAGAGTTTGCTTTAGGACTGCTTACCCTATACATGATATCCTCTCCGGGTCTTTTTCACTTGTGCGTGGGTAAGGAAAATTTGCCTTAAAAGACAAAAAGAGGAAATTCTCTTAATTAACTAATAGCTTCTCGAACTCCCTGTATACATATACATATCACTATTTCCGACTCAGAACGTCAATTGTCTTTTGTGTACAAAGAGAAATATTTTTGTCCTGGTTAAATTACTTTTTGCTTGAATAAATATGTTTGAACAGTGATAATTATTTTTGGTATTTCTCTTGTACGCCATCGTCGATAACACTGTTCATAACGATTTTGGACATGTTTATGCTACTGCAATTGTTTTTTCGGCCGAAGACGTTTGAATGGTTCTGATACAAAGCTCGAGCAGAAATTGTACTTACCGTGGCGTAGTTTTTTCAACATCTTGAGGCTGTCACTTATAGGACCAATCACAGCGAAAAATTCAGACGATACTTTAAAGATTCGACACAGACTGCAGCAACAATAAAGTGTTATGAAACTACGAATTAAATACACTTTTCCAACTATTTTTAGCAAATTACGCAAAAAAAGAAGGCGCTACATTAACCTCCACGACACCTTTCATATCCATACTGTCGCCCATACTCAACAATGATTAATAACATTTCCTAATGATACCCACACTGATATTAAAACCGTTTGTGCTGAACTGAGATAAATTGGACTTGAAAGAATTGTTTTAAACAAGATGGCTCAGGAAAAAAATATGTAGCTATAGGTTACGCAACTTTCCTGCAATTTTATATTCATAACAAAATCGAGAAGACGTTTAGACCGATAAAGCTCGCAAAATTTCTGTGTCATAAAGTAATTGACTAAATTGGTTCGTCGTCGAAAACGCGTGCATTAAAGAAATAAATAGATGTGAACCTAGTTTGTGAAAGTGAAAAATTCATTTGATGGTTTCCTATGATACCGCTTTTACACATGTACAACAGCTGGCATTGTGAAACTTTGTCAAATTACCATACAACCACTGTTAATTTTGGTGTTAGTAGGAACTTCCTGTGTGTCATGATATTCGTGATGGGTGATTTTTGATAATCAAGCAGCCTTGCTACAAGCTGAGTTGGCCAATTCACCTTCGCCACACCTTTCATATCCATATTTCTATCCATATTTCCGTCTCCCCCTTGTTTTTAGCTGAAATACATATACAACAGCAGTGGCAATATAATGCTTTGTTAAATTACCATAACGATGTTTGTTTTGGTTCGCTGGTAGGAACTTCCTGTGAATCATGTTCCTTCTCCATGATTTACTGTTCCTGTTTGGGAACAAAGGCTTAATATTGAAGGGCAATGAATCAGCAGAAATTCATTATCACAAGTTCAAATTAGCTTTGATATCTATGTAAGTTTCAAATTTTTCAGTTCTTTCCTTCTTTCATTGCAGACAGAATCGAAAAATGATTAATGTCATTATCATTGTTGTTATCATTATCATAATTTTTGATCTCAGGAGTGAAAAGTACTCCTTCGTAAACCCTTACCTGTTTATTTTTGTCCATTTAATTATAAAAACAAGCACGTCTTTCGGACTCTTCAAGGAAACGTTCAAATTATCGATAAGAAGCTCTAACCAACGAATTTGACGAAGTAGGCCATTAAATTCCGATTTTGTAACGAGTAGGAAGATAAAAAAGAAATAAAAAGGTAGTTTTTCAATTATCATAGAGTGTCATAGGAAACTATAATGTGTTACCTTTTATGGGAAGTTATTTCAGCATTGTGGTGGCGCAAACGTAACAAAATGACCTCAAAAAAATTATTGAAGGGACGTTTTTTTGCGAATGAAATCTTTGATTAGAATCGGTTTATTTATTTATTTATTTTGTATAAGTGGAAGTCTATAGCATACCTTCAATGACTTTACATTACTTCTTTTTTTCCTCGAAAATGTTGTCAAAACAATGTGCTCATGTTTCTCAATTTGTTTTGATCACTTTTATTATTGAATAGGTTATTTATATGGCTTTCGAGTTAGAGGCAGATAGAGCAAGAAACATATCTCTTTGAAGCTGAATTGTTGCTGTGTTAGGCTTAATTGTTAGAAAAACAAACACAGTTTGATTATAAATCATTGGGCATTTTTGATCATCTATTTCAAGGATACAATCAGAAAAGTGTAGAAGCTATAATTCACCGAAAAGAATAGGATTTTCCAAATAAAGAACCATTTGAACCATAACAAAGTTTTAATCCAGACTCATTTGACCCCAGCCTCTCAAAATCAACGATCCACGGTAAAAGGGGAGAATAGATGTAGATAGTTCCTTAAAAATTATGGTGCAAATCCTAGTTGCCATTTTGAACTTAGTCACCAAATATATTATTGCGTGTTATGAACAAAATTAAGAAATACATCAACATTTTGCTAAATAATTTCATTTGATAAAAAATGAGTATTTCTTGCTATTCAGAGAAATCCTTTTACCTGCAACGAGTATTCTGAAACTCGCAAAAATACTGCGAATCAAAGTTTTGTTTTGACATTTTTTTTTCCCATAAATTCATTTATTGATGGAATGGTCAATGTTTTCCGTTGTTAATGCAATGATGTAAAACAATAATTAATAATACCATTGGGTAAGAGAAAGGGGCTCTCACATGGATTTCGGGGGTGATGTAAAGAGCGGGGGATTGAGGGAATTAAGAATAATAATAATGATAAATAACAACAAAACGAAAACTGAAGCTACGCGGACGAAGCAAGAGTTTTAAACAATAACGTTCACGAAAAAAACTCATCGAATAATATCCCATTTAAAAATTACTTTTTTTCGACAATAACAGTTTGATTTTCCTCTTAGTCGATACCATTCATCTTCAATGTAAATTCAACTCACGCTCTATTTCTTTCTCGTCTTTCTTGCAGCTGAAGAGCTTGAGCGATTTGAAGGGATTTCTGGAAGGTAAATCTTGAATAAATACGAGACTATAGCATTCTAAATTGATTCTAGCGTGATACATTACCCACTGTAACCTTAGTTTAGCACTCGATGACGTCAAATGCACAAAGCACCTCCATGCTCTATGAGTGAGATACTCTATAACCGCCACCACCTCGAAAACTATGTTAAAGCACAGAAAGAGCTTCACGTCAAACAATTCAAAGAGCAGTTTGATTAGCGCCGGTTGAAATGTATGGGAGAAATCATGATTAAAGTCGAACTGCAATGACCTATTTCAGACGGTTGAGGACACACAATCTATCACTGAAATACCCTTCTTTTGAACTAGATTTTTTTATGCATCGTATTTCCTTAAAACTGCATTTTTCTTAGGCAATCCGAAATGAAATTTTTTTTCAAGAATATCATGAATTAATCTGGGAAAGTATTGCATTATAAAATTTTATATCTTCATGAGATTGTGCAAAACACCTGGATAAATTAAACTTGTCGAATTACTATACTAACAGTGGTTAGTTTGGTGTTAGAAACTTTGCTGATGACTGCAGATTTGAATCCGAACTTACCTCTTGGAATATAAACTTCTAAAGGGTGATGATACTCTTATCGCGGAATAATAACGACTCAAAGTAAAGTGCTTATTAACAAATTGTCTTATTATGAAACGTGTGGAAATAAATTTTACTATAAAAAACGAATAATACTTAAATCACTTTGTGGTTCAACTAAAGTGGATATCGTGAGATAAAACAGCAACTGATGAACACAGTCAAACACGGAATACATGACACAAAACTCAGCAAAAAAAAGTCTCCTGATAATATGAACTTAATTCTGAACTGTAACCAATGATTTCGTTTTTGACATCTGCCTTGGACCATGATAAGCCACGAGCACTATGTTTTCTCTTTATTATTATTTAGTTTTATTTCTTTATTTAATTTTTTTGCGACCAGCGGTATTCCTTAATTGCTGCTAAAAAAAAAAAAACTTCCGGTGCCAACACAGAACAAAAACAGAATGTTTAAAATCATCTAGAACCCAGCGTTTACTGTAGGACTGCCTACCCTACTTATGATTTCCTCTCCAGGTCCTTTTTAACCTCCCTGTAACATACTTAAAATTCCCAATCAAAATCACACTATCGAGTGATCAAAGGGTCATCTGCTTTTTGTGCACTAAGAGACATATTTTTGTACTGGTAGGAGTATTTTTTGCTCGAATAATTATGTTTGTGCGGTGATTTCACTTGTGCGCCACCGTAGAAATCACTTTTTATTACGATTTAATTTTTGACGTGTTTATGCTACTACTACTACTACTTGTTTTTGGCCGAAGACATTTCCATGGCTTTGATACCCATATGGTAAGATCAGAAATTGTACTTGCCGTGGCACAGTTTTTCTAACATCTTGAGGCTGTTAGTTATAGGACCAATCACAGCGAAAAAATCAGACGATGCTTTAAAGATTCGACACAAACTGCGGCAACAATAAAGTTTAATGTTACTAGGAATTAAACACAATATTCTCAGCTTGCGACACAGTTTTAAGTAGGGTGACACTACTGTGTTGAACCAATCTCACTTAACCAGAGACAGTTAAAACAATACATTTTGAATAGAATGATAAGTAAAGGAGTAATTGTGGTTTAATAAACTGTGGTTTCAGTTTAAACTATTTTCAGAAAATTACGCAAACAAAAGGCTCTACATGTAATAAAAACAAACAACAACAACAACCAGTAACCGATAGAATCAGAGTCTATTTCAGGTTTTCCACTCCTTTACCAGCGAAAAAAGTAGCATACACGTCAAGATGAATCGGTTCAGCATCGACATGGTTTTACACTGTTTCATGCTCTATTAGCAAGACACTTTAACTGATAGAAAATTCTGATTTCGATGATCGATCAAGGCCATGAGTCTTCGAATAGTTTTAGTTATTTCTAGTCTAAAACAAAAAAAGTTTTTGAGAGACCAAACTTTGCTGTTTCTGTCGCATAAAAGCCAAGTGGCAATTAATCGCAATTTGTCCATTGCCAGCTATGCATTTTTTCTCAGAAATACTTTACAACTTTGTTTATTGAACTAAGGTCGCTGACATTTTAGAAAAAACGTCTTAAATATGCCTGTATGCTGAAGTCTAAGAAATTTAAGTACTTGTGGATATCTACATATCTCTTTAGTAGTGAAAATGTTTAGTTACTGTATATTTAGGGCTTTTTGACAACCGTTTCCCTTACTGTTTTGTCGGAATAAGATGTCTCCAGGGTGAAAGAAACGTCATTTACGGACTAAGTAGTCAATAATTGGTTTTATTGCACCAATATATATCCCATGGCTTTGATACTCCTCCCTCCATCTTGGAGTGCCTCGTTTCCGCAAGATTTTGCGCCTTTTGGATAACTTCCTGTACCAAATCCAATCAAAGAGTCGCATGACTTGCAGTGGTTCTAGTTATTGCTAACAATACCAATTCTGACTTTAGCACGATCACGATCACCAACAGCATTGAATCCTTCCTTGTTACAGTTGCGCTGTAAAGAGGCGTTGCTGCCAATCAACTTTTTCCACCCGTCACGACCCAGTGAGGTGTTGCGGTATTGGCCATCAGCAATTAGTGAGTGCAGAGAGTCAGCCAACTTACTGATGACAATAAACCTGAGCTGTTGGTTGATCTTCATTCCGAGACAGATCTTGGAGAATGATGTGTTCCAGTAGGTGGATAGTTTTGATTCTTGTTCGTCAAACCCAGTCTCTCCACCGAGAAGGTTAAATTCATCGTAATTTATCCAATAATGTGCGTCATAATGGAAGGTGGTCTGAAATAGAGGAGCAAATCTTTTTTTTTATTTTCTCCGAATTGATGGCTATTTGCTGTTTACGCCCTGTCGTGTATCTGCATTTATAGATTCCTTAGTCATGTGTTTTACCCCAGAATTGACCTTGGTATTTACAACGTTGTGTTATGAAGACTAAGGTCATTTTTTTGTCCAACACGAACACGGCGCCGTAGATCAGTGCTTGACATTTTGATTATGAGTAGTTTTCCTGTGTTTCCATGTGTACGCCAATTAAGAGTCATAGAAATGTTAATCATTTGTGAAGTGAATGAGGGTTGATAGACGTCGTTATTCTTAAAATAAATTGGGATCTCTTTGTATATAGAAAAAAAATGGAGTATGGTTGTGTCGCGATAAAAGTAACCTGATCCCTCGATAACACTCTGTAATATTCCTATGATCCACGATCCCTCCTCATTGGCAAGTTTATTGCATTAAATTTTCTATTGTCCTCCAAAAATCCTCCTGTACATATCCCCCTCCACCCCCACTGCTGCTGTTCAGGAGATAAACAATGAATGCTATTTAAATCAAGGTGGTATCTACATAACCCTCAATTAGTGTAGAACTTTAACTCAGATAAGATATGTTCTTCGTTCCAAATAGCATTTTAAGCGATTTACGGTATCAATGATTGTATTTCTTATCTAGCTGATACGTGATACTAGAGACAAATATGTTAGGATATATTTTATACCTTTTTTTAACTTTTCTTTTTCAACAGTCACTACACACAATAAGTCTTGAAAATTAAGTGGTACAAAGTCTGTTCTTTGTGCAATTCCAACTTGGAGAAAAACAAAAAAGGCATACATATGTAAAACGAACGTTTTTAACTTGCAACGTTTTGAAAGAGACCGAGTTTATACAGGAAATGAATTATTTTAAACCGTATGTACCTTTCTGCCGTCAATCTTCATGACTGGCGTCCATCCTCCATCTCCACACCCAAAATTTCCCATGTGACAAAAAACGGACAACGGGTTGGAGTCAACAAAAAGGGTAACCACGCCACTGATACTGGATCTTTTGAATGAAAATGAAAGAAAGAAACACAAGCATTAAAGTAAACAACAATGGTTAAATAAAACTAGAGTTTATGAAAATAATTATCATACATAAAATAGAGGCAATGAAAATCCCAGTGGCAAAGTTACTGCGTGATAATGATAATGATTCAACACATGAGCAAATGAAAAGTTAATCCTTCAGCAAAAGACGTCAATAACTGCGGAATACAAACAACAGCCTTCATAGTTACAATGCTCGGCTATTTGTCCCTGAATTAAACAGGTGTCCGGGGCCAAGGAATATTTTTCACACCTTCTATAAGGACGAGAATACTCTCCACCAAAGTGAATCGAATTTAAACCAAGGACTTTCTTTGCATACGGTGGTTTGAAAATTAGGGTATATTTGGTGACGCGATGGGCTTGAACTAATTGCGGGAAAGCGGAATGTTTGATGTACTACATAAATAATAACCGAATATCAAGTCTACTAACGTGTCCTTGTCATAAATTTCTTTACACGAAGTAGGTCCTAGAAAAAGTTTTAAAATACCTTTCATTAGAATTGTAAAATTATATTGTCTCTCCAATGTTGTAGTTTTATTATTATTATTATTATTTTTGTTATTATCATTATATTTCCACTTCTTGTCTAAACTGAAACATTTTCCTTTCTAAAGGACTTCCTGGGCAGCATGCATGTTAATTTTTAAATCCTTCAAAAGAAGAGACGTCGGTAAAGGGTCTTATCATCATTGATAATAATTATTTCCATCCGGTGTTTAAAGTTGCTAATTAACTAATGGCTCTCCAAGTAACTAATACATTTGCGTTTAAATAATGGTTAATCATTCTGCTCTTTTTTATGCCTAAATTGCATGGTATTAACCCACAAATTACTCTTCTCTCTTATCATTAGAGTTGTCTGATTTCATCTTTAATTGTGAATTCGCGCGCAGGTTGCTATATGTTTTGCATCGCACGTTATAGTTACTGGAGTGCGTTGACATTTTCGTCAGAAAGTTCTTTCATAGGAGACCCTCTCAGCTCAATGTTTACAAAAGTTAACCCTTACACGTACCTTTGTATTCCCGGCCATCCCCAGTGAACCCCGGCTTGCATGCACAGTTATAAGACCCTTTGGTATTTTTGCAAAAGGCATAAGGACTGCAATGGTGATTCCCTTTGGCACACTCATCGATATCTGAAGACAACCAAAGAAACAGCAAGCGAAGAAAACAAACATATGAATTAGTGGGTCACGTGGAATTGCGAGTTATCATTTCCTTTTCTTTTTAATCTGGTTAATACTATATCAAATGTACTCGTATGTAGATTCAATCTACTTATATTTTAACCCACTTAGCCACAATTAGAATTATTTTTCAAATCTTAGACGCCAGTATCAGATTAAAGAAAACGGCATGTCAGTTTACTTTCCTTTGTGTGTCTCTCTTTTACTCTCTCTTTCGTTGCTTTTTTCGTTTTCGTTTTTTAGGAAAGACGAAGTAAATGGCACATGTCCATGCAGTTAGTGTGCGACTTGTATGCTTCCAAATATTCGAATTGAAGATCTCACTTGAACGATAGAGATAATTTTTTTGTTTACCGTTTTGGCACCTCGCATAAAGTTTGTCTGTAGAACTTCTTTGACAAGAGGCGTTATTTGCGCAATGATTTTCAGCGCACATATTCTTGGAAAAGAAAGAGATACAAACAAAACATGTTTTCAATATAACACGATTTAGCTTAAGCAGCGTGCTATGCAGTGTGTCCAAAAGTCACACCTGTACTGTTTTTGCAAAAAGAAAAACTTCAAAGAGAAATAATAATAAGAAGAGAGAAACTTTTAAAAGAGCTATTCGATTCAAAGATCGTTTTTCTGTGGAGGTAGGACACACCTAAGAACACGAGAGGATGAACAAATGAAATGAGTGAGTAGATAAGTAAGCGAATTAACGAGAGAACGAGCGAAATAATAGTCGGGAAAACCACACTGTAAAATTAAGAGTTGATTTGGCCCCAAAAATGGGGCCAAAACGAGTGAGTCCAGTTTGGCACTCGCTTAGGGTCAATTCGGCCCCATTGAAATGGGGCTGTTTTTGGCACCAATTTTGGGGCTGAATTGACCCCTTTGTGGGGGCCAAATTGGACCATGTGAAGGGTGAATTTGAAAAATACAGGGGCCACTTTGAAATTTATAGGGGCCAAAACAGCCCCCAAAATTTCAGCCCTCTCACAAATGGCCCCTTTAAAAAGAGCCAATTCAGCTCCAATGTGGGCCACTTCAGAAGTAGAGGGCTCTTTCCTCTCCATGCTTATTTTCCCCCTTACATTCAAATAACGAAAATACACCACATACTTTATCTTTCAAACACTCATTTATTAGGTTCTAGATATTGTTTATGTAAAAACCTTTTATGCTACCTGATTTTACAGTTATTTAGAATCTTAATTGTGGTATAAAACATACAAACTTTGAAACATCATGTGAAAGAATATAACATACATACATATTTAACATTAATTCAACCATTTTCTAAAATAGATCTCTTCCCTAAATCAGTATACTTATTAACAGTGCAAGCATTGCAAGAAATTACACCCAAGAGACACTTGTGAGTAAAGCTTCCCTTTTCAATGACTTAGCAAATGTGGTAATGTAAAGCAGCTTATAATTAAGACTGATTTAAAGTACAGAAAATTATCAAAATAAGACAGAGGCAACAAATGGTCCAGTTCCTGCACAAGAATATAGATCTTGTTTGATTTGTGCATATGAAAAACAAAGAGCCTTAGAGCAGCAAAGAGTATTCTTCCAGTGGATGTGAGAATACATACACTCATATTGCTACTTTAGATATTATCAAAATATAAACTATCAGCAAGGACTACCGCAGGCATTTGCCAAGTCATTGAAAATAGAGGAAACAATGACAAGAGTCTGCCTGTGCCCAATTTCAAGTAATGCTTGCTCTAAAAAAAGTCAAAATTGCCTTTGACCGATTGTAAGAAAATATAAATGAGCCAAGTAACCCAATGAGAGCATCAAGAATCTTTTCTTGTGAGAAGTGACAAATTACACTTCCCTCTGTTACTATATTCAGGTGATTGATGTATTGAAGATCTCCAACAATTAAAATTTGTGCTGGACATAATCTCTGATTGCTGAATCAACATCAGCTACTCTATGCAATAAAAACAACCACATTAAAATCAAGCCAAAGTGCAAAAAGTGCCTGTAGCCAGAAAAAAAAGAATATATATATACACACTTAAGTTAAAGAATTAAAGAGGATGCATCAATTCTCTGTGACTGAGTTTTGTGCCTAAGTGCTTGTCAGACAGAAAAGTTCTGTCTGACAAGCGCTTAGGTGCGAAATTCAGAGTCACAGAGAATTGATGTGTCCTCTTTAATTCTTTAACTTATGTATACTTAGCTCTGCCACCACAGCATTGAGCACTTTATGCCAAGGTAGACTCTACCCCTACATTTACATATATATATTGTTTTTCTAAAACTATAAGCTAAAACACCAGAAATGGAAGTGGAAGTTTAGCTCAATGTGTGTAATTTGTCTCCCATTCAAGACTTGAAAAACTAATGTATGACTCCCAAAATATCTGAAAAAAATCAGCTATTCTATGTCCAATATTTATCTAATGGTTTGACAACAGGAATATTTTGAAAAATTGCAAAATCAAAAAAACTAAACGAAAAGGCAAAATTAATACAACCCCAAAGTACTTGAACCTCTGTATCTGGACTTCATTGGCAAAATTAATGAGCTCAGAAATTTTAGCTGTTCATCTTAGTACCAAAGTAGCAGTTTTTTGGACTTGTACCTCCAAAATGGTCACAACTTCATTAAATGCATGTGATGACAAACTCACAAGAACAAAGGTCATGAACTTAAAAGGTGAGAGTGATTATTTTGCAACTTTTTAGTTTAAGGCAAGAGATTCAGCACTGCAAAATTGTCTCTCTTCACTGCAAGCAAAAGAGGTGAAGCAATAGATTTTTAGACCATACCAATCCATTCAGTTTCCAAGTCAACTTAGTCTAGTATCCAGCTAACCATACAAGGATACTCTGCAATAATTTTTTTTTTTTGCAATCCACTGTTGCTCAGAGTACTTTAGGCTGCTGATGAGATATCCCTTCTGGGTATCCAACTCTACTAAGGCAGAGAACTGTACAAAAAACAAACAAATGAGCAAATTAATTTGTTGTTGGAGAACAGTAAATTTTTGCAACTACAAAGTTGCAAAATATTTGTAAGCAAACTGTGCATAAGAAGTAAAAACACAACAATGGTGATCATCAATGATGTATTTTCACCAAACTGTATATGTACTTATCAAGAAAAGAAATCATACCTCTATGCACTTCAGTTTTAGTTCAGTATTCATGAATAAATAAGGATTGCTTGTAGACTTAAAAAACAAAACAAAGAAAAGTTTCTTACCCTCGATGGTAGTTGGAATTTTGAAAGCCATTCAGGAGGAACCTGTAGGTAAATATTTGTTTTCAAAAAAATTAAACTGTCTGATAACATCCTATCAATTCACTAATTTTTTAATTTACCAGATTTAAAAATTGGGTTTACTTTGTTTTATGCATGGTGCAAGTAAATACATATCTAATATATTTCAATAAAAATAAAGCAAATCTCGCCATTTTTGTAGGTGCAATCCCCGTGATTTGTCATCTTTAACTGACCAACTGGCACCTTGTGTGTTTTCCTTTAGGATATAATCGAAAGAAAGTAATCGATAATGTACTCTTCACCATCCTGCTAAGTTTAATATACAAGAACTTACTTAGACAGTGCTCAGTTCTGTCGCCTCGTCCGTAAAACAGAGATCCTTGGGCGATTTACCCTTTTCTTTAGGTGCCAATGTCACCTCTAAATTTTCATAATCGCTGATGTTATCTGAATCATCAATCGACGTTTGAACCGTCTTACTCGTAGGACTTGATTCTGCACGCTGAAAGAGTGAGAGCCAAAAAATCAGCTTAAGTGGATGCAAACAGAGACATAGACATAAAATATCAGTTCATCTTTTCAAGAAAAGTTAAGAATTCAGAGTGAGAGATCCTAAAATCAGAGAATCTTGAAATAAGTTAAATCCATCTTGTGTAAATGCAGTATTCGAACTGTAACCGTCTCTATCTCTCGGCGCCAAATTTTGATCACGTGACTTTAGTTGCGAAACCGCTGAGACTCAACAAGACTCGGGAGAAGAGGCGAACCATTCATGCGTCAAATTTTCTGGTGGGAAAATTAATTATCGTACCGACGAAGAACTCGTGTCATCTCTAGGTTCAGCGTTCATTGCAATCAATTTCTTGAGCTTTAGACACTCTTTTATAATAGGGATGTAGTGCCTTGGTACGTCTGCATCTTGGGCGATGGCAAGGAGATCTTGGCCATCGCAACCGTCTTTTTCTGCAAGATAAGATACGAACAAAGATCAATGGAGCGGTCAAGTTTGTGAATGTAAAGTTGCAGTAAAATACGTTGTTAAGAAATTTCTTTTGCCTACCTTTCCTTTCTTAAGTCTCATTCCATGCGACTGTAGCCAAGAAACAGCCTCTTCAGTCACGAATTCGTTGCTATAATTCATTATTGTTTCCGACGCACGTGGTCTAAGTTCGACTGATGCCATCACAGGCAGCTCACGCTCACGTCTCGAGAAAAAGCCAACGATTAATTCGTTGTGTGACTCGGTGTTCAGTTACGAGAGGAACCGTTGAAAATTTGAACACTTTATAAGGAATAGTATCGGGAACGAAATATGGTCGAAAAAAGAAAATTATTTTTATATTTTCTTTTTTTTTTTCAAAAATTGCACCTCGTTGGGGCCAAATTGGTCAATCCTACTTGGCTCTTGGAAGGGCCAAATTGAGAAAAAGTTCCAAAGTAGAATTCATAGGGGCCAATTCAGATTTTGGAGGGGTCGAAATGGTACCTGTTCCGCCCGTTTTGGCTCAAATAGTCCAAAACGAACCTTGATGGGCCAAACTGGCCCTCGAGAAATTGGGGCCAATTTGGCTTTTGGGGTCAATTTGGCTCTTTTCATTTTACAGTGCATAACTCGTTCAGTCTTGAAGAAAGACAAACGTTAGAGGAAGAGAAGGATAACTGTTTTATTCTCAGGGGAAGCTGATGACCGTTTATCTGGGTTAATGTTGTCTAATTATGCCATGCAAGAGATCGTAGACTGTGTTTCCTTGGGAAGGCTGCTTTGAAATTTAAAAAACACAAAGGAGAGTCTTACCACGATGTGATAGTGATGTGAGCTTTCGTTTTGCTTGAATTCCCTGGAGTTGCTGTACTTATCAGATGACAATAACTCGCACCGCAATCTTATTTCGAGGGCCAAGTTCACAGAAATACAAGAAGGATGTTGAAGGCATCTCATGATACACTCCAAGTCGTCGTGCACCGAGAATATTCCAACTCGAGGCACATTCAAGTAACGGAACTCATCTACAGAAAACAGACCCTGTCTTACGTCTGTTACTCGGTGGTCTGCAGTGTTCGTTTCTGATGGTCGAGTCAATAGAGCATTTTCAGCAAATAGCTATATACACCTGTTATAATTTCTAAATAAGGTACTCTTTTTATACTTTAGCAAATTATTTTGTTCTTTTATATATTCTAACATAACTCTTCCCAAAAAATGTCAGGATAACGCATTTTAAAGATGTCAGTAAATATCAGAACTTTTTCTTGAATGCGAGTTTTATCTTAGGGGCGTATACATTCATTTTATCGTATTTGTTCAGTTTTTATTGCAAACGCTTCCCTAAAAAGCGCTCTCTCTTCGACGCTGCACAATTAGTATCATTTCTCTTTAAAAACTTGGAAAGTTAAACTACTACACTTAAACTCTAAGACCGCAAATCCAGCTCTAGTCTCAACTATGTATTGACCGAATCTATAAAAAAGCTGCAACCAGAATCAATCTCTTGCGATCAATTCGTCCTTTGATCGACCAAAAGTGTGCAGAATCGATCTATAACACTATGATCGCACCTATCTTTACCTATTGCGGAACACTTGGTCTTAGCTTTCCGGATTACCGAAAGGAAATGATAAAGAACATCGAACGACGAGGCTTTAAAGTTATCGGCAATAGTTCTTTTAATCCCCCATCCGTGAACAATTTGATCAAGCGTAAAAGCTGTCTGTTTGTTTTCGACTGTCTCCTGAATAATGTTTGCACACCCTTTAAGAACTACTTCGAAAGGCTGGTTCATTCTAAGGCCACTAGGAATAACGGTATATCAGTGAAATTACCCAAAGTTCGTCTAGAATTTGGTAAAAAGAGCTTCTATTACCAAGGAGCAAAGACTTTCAACAACCTGCCTGCTGAACTAAGGTCGTTAGATTCGAGACTGAAATTTAAGAACAAATTGCGAGATTATTTTAGTTAAATTCTATCTAAACGTGGTTATAGGTATCTTTTTCAGAGTATTTTTATTTAATTTTTAATTTTTTCATTTTATTGTATGCTTTTCTAGACCTTAAGATCAATGATTATATCTTGTTAAATTTTATTTTATTTATTTATTTATTATTTTTGACAGGACCCCAAGGACAACAGTGTTACACACTGATGGGTTTCAATCCTGTATAAAAATTCGTTATTATTATTATTATTATTATTATTATTATTATTATCTTGCAGAAAACAATTACTTCTTTGCGTTTTTCAGTCCTTCGGAGGCAAGGCGCGAGGCAGCCCAAAGGGAGGATAACACGTGAAGGAAGAGACGTGAAAAAAAAAGAAAGTTAATCAATAAAAGGTAATGAACTAATTAAGTAAATACGAATTATGTATTTTTCCTTACTGAATACTATATAGGTCACAACCATACACTTGAGTGCCGGTCTCGCTAAAAGCACTCCTCTAGACTTCCCGTCGAAAAAAAGTTTTTTTTTCATTTTTTGCCCAAGAAAGGGCTTGGGACATGTTTCAAAAATAGTTCTCCAATTCCCTTTTTTTGTGTCGCCACAAGCCAAAATTGAGTTTTTGTTAGAACACCCAGTTTTTAAGAAAGAATTCTCAAAATGCAGGCGTAAGTCGGGTCAAAACGGCATAGTACACAGTACTTACACTAATAAGGTCACCGATTGCCGGCTTGATGTATAGACATATGACCTCTTTCGCGAGTATAAAAAGTGAATAATGCAACGAAGTAGAATCGAAAGTTTAAAATAAATTGGATATTTTTACATTTTATCTCTTAATATGTTTACCTGTTTGATGGAAAGCAAAGATTATAATGGCTGTGGGAGATTATTGCAAATATTGTAATGTATTAAAAGCCATTACAGACTATTGAGATTGTTGCGTAGACTATAGGGATCGGCATGAGTCTCTTAGCCGAGACGAAACTCTAAGTTTATATTCAAAACACAAGAATATGGAAAGCCTATGGTTTGAGCAGTTCTCTTGGACAGCATATCATGTGATCAGTCATGTGCAATAAACAAACCTAACTCTCTTCAATAAAACTCTTTCTACTATTACGAGAGGATAACGATCGAACTAACACTTGTGTGAAAGTTTATCCTGGTGCTGTTTACCCAGCTTAAAAGATGGTAGTCCAATTAAAAAAGGTGTTACTCAACCTTCACTATAATGATTGGAGGATATTCCATCCCTCTGTTGTGGTTTTCTCACAGCTAATTATAATTCTAATTAACATCACATTATGTCAGTTAAATAGACGACAAATTGACGTTTCCCTTCTTTGGCTCATACGTTTATGATGACCAATATCTGAAAAGCTCTCACGTCAGTTAAAAAAAAAAAAATTGCTGTAAGTGGAAAGATTGTACCCTGAGATGCTTTCTTGAAACAGTCCTGGCCATAGACACTTTTGTCTTACCATGAAACATGGCGTCACGGTCCAATTTCTAAAAACTGAGGCTAGCCCCATATTTTAATCCCACATTTTTGCTTATGACATTGATTGCCCTTTAGACCCTTATGCATCTTATTTCCTTAACACTGCTTTTTTTCTTAGTTGAATCCGAGTTGAATTTTTTTTTAATTTATTATTTTTTTTTTATGATATTATTATCAGGTAAACGTATTGCATTATAGAATTCCATTTCTACATAACATTGTGTTAAACACCTGTCGAATTACCGTACTAACACCGGTTAGTTTGTGCTAGAAACTTCTTGTAGGACACAAATAAATTCTTCCTAATTTCCAGCAACATTTTGTGAAACTTCAAGTACTACACAGGAGGCGAAAAAATTATTTAAAACACACTTTTGTTGAGGTGGGTTGCATATCGTGCTAATTGCGTATGGAAATTTAATTCCTGAAATATTTCGTGCCTGAAAACGAAAGGGAAAGTGATCATATCGAAGGAAATGGAATCCACTTTCGAAACCTTGACTATTTGCGCTTGGTTAACTCACGTTGTAAAGTGCAGGACGGGTGTGCAGGAGGTCCAGGGTTCAAGCTCCAGACCTAGCCAACACTCAGGATCGTAAAATAATTTAGGAGAATGTACTGCCTTTGGTTTAACAACGGTTAATTATTAGACACTACACTATTTTCGGGTAAGAACAATAAGCCGTAGGCCCCGTCTCCTTTCTCTTCTCTGAAATGGTTAATAGGGACGTTAAAGAACCTGCGCACTTCTCGCAAAGAGTATTGAACGTAGCGCCCTGTGTTGTGGTCTGACCTTATCATTGTTTACACAGGCCTCTTTTAAACTAGCATTGAGATGAACTGCACTAGCTTGTCTAAATATCGCAAATACATACATACATACATACATACATACATACATACATACATACATACATACATACATACATACATACATACATACATACATACATACATACACCCATACATACACACATTCCGTTGTCATGAAACGTGTGGAAATAATTCTTAAAGTTAAATACGAATAACACTTAAATCACCTTGTGATCCAAATACAGTGGATACCATGACACAAAACAGCAATTGAGGAACACAGTTAAAAACGGAATACATGATACAAGACTCTCTGGAAAAGTTCCCTGATAATCTGAACCTAAAATACGGTTCTTTAACCAATCCTTTCGTTTTAAATAGTCTTAACATCTGCCTTAGACCACGAGGAGCCGCGAGCACTACGTTTTCTCTTTGTCACTATTTATTAATGTTTTTCTATTTATTTTTTCTGCGAAGAGCAGTATTCCTTAGTTGTTACTAAATAAAGGAGTGATAAATGAAATTTCCTAATTGATACGCCCACTGATATTAAGACCGTTTGTGCTGAACTAAGATAAGATAAGAAATCGACTTGAAAGAATTGTTTTAACAAAGTAGCCTAGGGAAAAAATTATTTAGCAATAGGTCACGCAACTTTCCTACAATTTTATATTCATAACGAAATCGAGCAGACGTTTAGACTGGTAAAGCGCGCAAAATTTCTGTGTCATAATGTAATTGACTAAATTGGTTGAAAATGCGTGCCTTAAAGAAATGGATAGATGTGAACCTAGTCTGTGAAAATAAAGAACTCATTTGATAGTTTCCTAAGTTATCGCTTTTACACACGCACAACAGGTGGCATTGTGAAACTTTGCTAAATTATCATACAACCATTGTTTATCTTGATGGTGCTAAGAACTTCCTTTGTGTCATGATATTCGTGACCGATAATTTTTGGTTATCATGCAACCTTGTCACAAGCTAAGTTAGCCAATTCACCTCCGCTACACCTGTCATATCCATATTTCTGTCCATATTCCCGTCTTCTCCTTTTTTTCGCTGAAATACATGTACAATAGCTGGCATGATTATGATGCTTCGTTAAATTACCATAGCGATGTTCATTAAATATATGACTTCCATATATTCACAACCGTTTATTCACCACTTGACGGGTTTATTTCGAACCAACACAGTAATTAGCTCCCAGTTGGCTTGTTAGCTCCGTTCGTAGAGCACTGCACAGGTATCGCAGAGGTCATGGGTTCAAATCCCTTACAGGCCTGAATTTTTTTTTTTCAGGCGTTCTTTTCACTACTACTTGAGTATTGTTCATTACTGCGAAGATCGCTTTCATATTCACGATGTTTATTTTGGTCCGCTGGTAAGAACTTCCTGTGAGTCATGTCCCTTCTTTATGATTCACTGCTCCACTGAGGCAAGGAATCATCAGAAATTCATCATCACAAGTTCAAATTAGCTTTTATATCTACACAAGTTTCAAAATTTTCACTTGATATACACTGATACACGCTACGACTTCCTTCCTTCTTTCATTGCAGACATAATCGAAAAATGGAATTATGTTGTTGTTAAAATTGCTGACTTTATTATTATTGTCATTATTATTGTTATCATCATTATGATAATTTTTAACCTCAAGAGGAAACGTTTAACTTATCGAGAAGGTCTAACGAACAAATTTGATGAAGTTAATTAGTGCATTCAATTCCGATTTTGTAACGAGGAAGATAAAAGATAAATAAAAAGGTGGTTTTAAAATATCATGGAGTGTCGTAGGAAATCAAAAGGTGTTATCTTTTATGGGAAGTCATTTCAGCATTGTGGTGGCGCAAACGTAAAAAAATGACCGTAAAAAAAAAAGGATTGAAGGAACATTTTTCTGCAATTGAAATCTTTGAGGAGAATCAGCTCGTTTTTATTTTTTTGCATATGCAGAGGTCTATTAGCATACCTTCAATGACTTCACATTACTTCGTGTTTTCCTTCGAAAATGTTGTAAAAAACAATGTGCTCATGTTTCTCAATTTGTTTTGATCACTTTTATTATGAAAGAGGTTAACTATATTGTTTTCGAGTTAAAGGCAGATAGAGCAAGAAACATATCTCTTTGAAGCTGAATTGTTGCTATGTTAGCCTTAATTGTTAGAGAAACAGTTTGAATATAATTCATTGGGCATTTTTTAACATCGATTTCAAGGAAACAAAACAGAAAAGTGCAGAAGCGATAATCCACCGAAAAGAATAGGATTTTCCAAATAAAGAAACCATGTGAACCTTAACAAACATTCAATCTAGACTCATTTGATCCAGCCTCTCGCAACCATCGATCTACAATAAAAGAACGATTTTTTTTTACGTTTAGGGGAAATGAGAGGTAGATAATACCTTGAAATTATGTTGCAAATCCTAGTTGCCATTTTGAACTAAGTTACCAACTATATTATTACCTGTTATGAACAAAATCAAGAAATATATCAACATTTTGCTAAATAATTTCATTTGTGAAGTCTTTTTACTTGCAACGAGCAATCTGAAACTTGCCAAAATATCATATTTTTGTTTCACGGGTTTTTTTTTATCATTCATTTATTCATGGAACAGTCAGTGTTTTCCGTTGTTATTGTAATGATATCAAACAAAAATTAGTAGCACAGCTAGGTAAGTGAACGAGCCCTCACATGGATTTCGGGGGTAATGTAGAAAGCAGGGAATTGAGGGAATTAAAAAGTAATAATAATAAATAACAACAAAACGGAAACTGAAACTACGAGGACGAAGCAGGAGTTTGAAGCAGTAACGTTCACGAAAAAAAAAAAAGAATAGTATCCCATTTAAAAATTACTTTTTTGGACAATAACAGTTTGATTTTCCTCTCAGTCGATGCAATTCATCTTCAATGTGAATTCAACTCACGCTCTATTTCTTTCTCATCTTTCTTGCAGCTGGCGAGCTTGAGCGATTTGAAGGGATTGCTGGAAGGCAAATCTTGAATAAATACGAGACTGTACCATTCTAAATTGATTCTAACGTAATACTCTACCTACTGTTTGAGTCCATGTTTTACTGAGCCACAAACTATTTATCGTTTTTGAGTATCGGGCTATGTTAGTAAAAAGCAATGGCTATGGCATTTGTTTTGATGCTGTTCGTAAATTGTAAATAATATCACAATGGTTGGGACGTCTGGACAGTCTCGATACCGATAAGGGTCGGAGAAAAATAAAACTTGTGGAACTGTAGTTTAGCCTAGAGCGCGAGGCTTCTCGAGTTTTGGGACAAATCAAAGCGAAACAGTATGACGATGCTTTATTGGTTAGACACAGACTGCAGCAACATTAAAGTTCAATGAAACAAAGAATTAAGCTTTAAGTGCCTCGTTTCCGCAAGATTTTGCGTCGTTGGGGTGATTTCCTGTACCAAATCCAATCAAAGAGTTGCACGATTAACAGTCGTCCTGCTCATTGCTAATGATACCAATTCTGACTTTAGAACGATCACTTTGACCACTAAAGGCAATGAATCCTTCCTTGTTACAGTTGCGCTGTAAGTAGGCGTAGCTGCCAATCAACTTTTTCCACCCGTCACGACACAGTGAGGTGTTGCGGTATTGGCCATCAGCGATTAGTGAGTGCAGAGAGGCAGCCAGCTTGTTGATGACAATGAACTTGAGCATTTGGTTGATCTTCATTCCGAGACAGATCTTAGAGAAGGATGTGTTCCAGTAAGTGGGTAGCTTTATTTCTTGTTCGTCAAACCCAGTTTCTCCACCGAGAATTCATGGTAATTTCTCCAGTAATGCGCGTTATAATGGAAGGTGGTCTGAAAAAGAGGACCAAATCTATTTTTGTATTTTCTCCTAATTGATGGATATTAACCGTCGACGTCCTGTCGTGTATCTGCATTTATTGATCCCTTACTCATTTGTTACCGTAGAATTGACCTCGGTATATACAACATCGTGTCGTGAAGACTAAGGTCATTTTTTTTGTTGTTGTTCTACACGGACCCGACGCCGTAGATCAATGCATGCAGAACATATATATATAACCGACTAATTGGATGGTCGGTTAGGCATGTGTACCCCGATAAAGATGAATTTTCTTTTTGAAAAAGAAGACCGCTTTTTGAAGCTGGTAAGATTAGTGACTATACGTACAAAATGTTATACAGTAGTGACGGCTTATGTCCATGTTTTTATGGCTTACTAAATTCATAAACGGGAAATTTCTATTGAGATCTATTAACTCTTTGGTTAATTCTCCGACCTCTGTAATCTATCGAGAATTTTGTCGCTTGTTGTTGGGAATACTGCTTACACTGTCAAAAATTCCTGCGAATTTGCAGATTGCATAAGAGATAAAACTTTTAACCCTTTTGAAGAATCGGTACCTTTCGACGTTGTTTAGCTCTTCACTAAAAATCCCAGTTGACCTTGCCGTTAAGGTTGCGGAGGAGAGACTCAGAGAAGATGCTTCCCTGGGACAAAGAACTTCTCTGCCTGTGGAGGATATTATTCATCTGCTCTCTTTTTCCCTCAAAACCACGTAATTTGCATACGACGGCACCTACTATCAACAGGCTTTTGGTACAGCTATGGGTTCGCCCGTCTCTGTTGCCAATATGGTAATGAAACACGTGGAACAAAGGGCCTTAGCCACTTCACCGGTTAAACCCTTTTTCTGGAAACGATATGTCGATGACGTTATTTCTGCAGTATCCGGAAATGAAGCGGAACGCCTTCTATCGCATTTGAATCCACCCTATTTGCCATAAAAAGTCTATAGCCAAACTTTGGAGGGCTGATTGTCCACCATCTTCACTCGATTCGAAAGCTGAGGGGAGGAAATATGTTTCTAATGTCCTAAAGGTGATTGGCTATACGATAAATTTTCTCCGTAACTGCCGAAAACCAGTTACAACTAGTAGCATTCCTAATGAGAGGGAACCAGCGACTGGTTTCGTTGTTATTCCCTACATTCGGGGTGTTACGGAACCCATCAAGAGAATTCAGTATAGTCACAACGTTAAAGTTGCTCAGAAACCTTTTCAGACTTTAGGGCATATTTTTGCCAAGCCTAAGGATCCGTTCACCAAAGCACAACGCGCTAAAAGTATTCATGCAATGACTGTGATCACTAGTATATCGGAGAGACCAAACGTCAGCTTGGTACACGTTTGAAAGAACATCAAAAAGCGGTCTTCTTTTGCAAAAAAAAAAATTCAACTTTATCGGAGTACACATGCCTAACCAACCATACAATTGGATGGGATAAGTCAGTCTAAAATTATCACCACTTATCGGTGTTGCCACCGGCGCCTTTCTATGGAAACCTGGCGTATCAACTCCGTCAACGCTCCCTTAAATCGTGATGATGGCGGCTTACTTCCTGACGCCTATTTACACCTCGTCAAAAAAAAAGGGGGGTAGCTAATTAGAGAGCGTGTAAAAGGACCTCTCGTTACAACGTTTAGATCCCCCCTGATGAAGGCACCAGACAGGGGTGTCGAAACGTTGGGTCTATGAATTGTAACTTCTCTCTTACATTCATCAAATCTTTATACTAGAGTAGCATCAAACCATGTCTGATTGTCAACCTGTTTTTTTGGCCGTACGGGTAAAAGAGCAACAGTAGATAACAGATAAAAACTGAGTTGACAGAAATGAGTAAAAGATGCAAATAAGAGGATTTAAGTGAATGCAAGCCATGAATGACTAGAAAATGGTAATCATAACTGGCGTCCATCCTCCTTCTCCACATCCAAAATCTCGCATGTGGCACAGAACAGAGACTGATATTAAGTCAACAAGAGGGTAATCACACAGTACTAGAATAGGCCCTTTTGCACAATTGTGAATAGCGATGTAAGAGAAATAATCATATTTCATTAAAAATATATCACGGACAAGTGGTTGGAGTTGTTAACATAGGCATCCATACGAGTGAAGCTACACATTACATAATCACTATAAGGATGATTAATCAATAATAATTGAGTTGATGCAAAACGTTCGTAGGCTTAAATATATCAAAATAGACCAATAGGTTGATTATGTGGTGCAGTGCGTCATCAATCACAAGACTGCAATTCATAAACAGTGTTCTTCATTCGAGAACACAACAATTTCTGTTTGGATCATCGCATACATAAGCTCTACCTAGAAAGAAACAGTTTTCTGGAAGCACACTGTCTCTTACCTCGTATGAGTAAGCCCTAAAGGGAGATTGCAAGCACGGATTGAAATTCGAGTACATTGGCTGGCATGACGAGCAAGGACCAATGGTATGTACGCTACACTATTTAATATTTTTGGGAATTATCATGAGGATTAAATTCTACCTAAATTTCGTTTTCATGGATTTCCTTAAAAGTCGAAGCTCCTGCAATTTTTATCTAGTAGAATTTAAAACTTACTTCTGTTGAATTTTAGTCTACTCTATTTATTACACTATTAGATTGACTCTAAGACTTGTCGATTATTTTTTAACGGCCTTCCTGCTATAATTCCGTTTAGGTCGTCCAGGTTAGTAACAAAATTTTAATCCAGTTGGGATTTCAAGCCTGGTGAAAGTTTTATTTCAAAGGCGACTATCATAAGTTTACGGTTAAGCGGCGTTGATAGATCACTCTGCCCATTTGGTTGGCGAACAGCGTTTTCAGGAACACAGAAACAAACCAAAAGAGAGAAAAGGAAAAAAAAACAAACCAAAAAAACAAACAAACAAACAGAAAAGAAGCGGAAAAGAAAAATCCCCTTGACTTTATATTACCACCTAAAAATATTCGCATTTCTATACCACCCGGCTAAAAGTCCTCCGTAGGAGGAATGGAATTAATGGAAAGAAACGGCAGCAACGACCGCATTAAAAAGCACCATCTTAAGAAGATCTCTTCAATGGGAAAAGACCTAATAATGATTCCTATTATGATTTCTTGACCGAAACATTAATCTTTGCATTCTCGGCCATTTCCATAAAGTCTAGGCTTACATGTAAAGTGGTACGAGCCTTTCATATTGATGCAATATGCCATCGAACTGCATTTGTGTAACCCTAGGGCACATTTATCGATGGCTGTCATTAAAAAAAAAATGGAGTCAAACAACAGCAACAAACACATCAGCAACAGCTACAACATCATATATGCTTCTCAGGCGGCCTCCTCTTAAGCTATAAACTCTGTTATTTGTTGTTATAAATTAGAGAACGTAGATTTGCTTACTTGCCATTTGTCTATTTCCTCGGTATCGAGTACTTTACTTTTTTGTGGCACAATTAAATGTGTGTTTGCCAACGGTTGAACAGTTGTACATGATTTGCTAGTCAGTTGTAAACTGAAGCAGTTCTCTTGAAGTGTTGTTATCATTGGTGAAGATGCGAGACAATCGAAGTTGTTTTGAAGATCAAAAAGTTAATCGACCACTTAAGGAGGCTCCATATGGTTTTTGACAGCGGGAGATCTGGGTACGAATATAGCGCGAGCTTTCCAAGTGTCAACATGCAAAACAAACATGGTGGCTCGATACGATCACCTGATTGTTATATGAAAAAGTGTGTTAAAAACAGTTCAACACAATACAGTTTTTATGTGAAAAACAGGTCGAACGAAAAGAAAACATGGGTGGGAAAGATTGCCAATAGGCGACAGTCATCATCACCGTCATCGCCGTTATGATTACCATTTCCCATGAATTCTTTCGTCATTATAATTTCTTTCAGTAAATCACTATTTCTGAAAAGCCTCGGGGAATGTCTCGTGCCTGAATGCCTGAAGATCAAATTAAAACACGACAAAAGCATCAGATCTCTTAAAACAAAGAAGTTAAAGCTGTCGTTTCGCATGTAACAATAACTTGTTATTCACTATTAATGCAAAACCACATATTATCATGGTAAAATATTCATATGAAAAGTGTTAGAGGAAACATTGAAAAAAAATAAATACCATTGAACGAGCTAATTTAGAAAGAAATCTACCTTAGATGCATGGTAAAAATAATTTTCATCGTCCACCAACTCTTGTTCGTATCCTTCGTGGGTAACATTATTTAGTTCACATTTGTACACTCAATGTCCATCCTCTCGTTTATCAATATTAATACTGACACAATCGGGTTCAATATAACACAAGATTTCACAAAACTCCAACACCATTACTTTAGTTATGCGAATCACGTGATTCATGAGGCGTTTGCCGTAAAACAGTTTTTCAGGCCTGAACTCCAAAGTACGAGACTGGTCTGCGACGCCGACGTCTGAGAATTATGAATAGACATTCAATTAAATATATTACCTTAAATACCAAAAAATGTTACAATAACTTGAGATCTATATTCGACCGATAGAATTATAATTACAAGGTGTTTTATGTATCAAATGTGTTCCTCGTCCGAGTACTGTTTGAAATCAATCCATAAATTTTGATTATGCCTGCCTAACTTTTGCGCTCTCCTATTTGGAGCATTGGAGAGCAATGGATTTCATTGCATAATTATTCGTTAAAGAGTATTTGGAAAGCATTATTGGTTGGCACAAACGGGAAAAGAAAGTTCAACGAAGAAAAAAAGTGACGGTTTTTAGATTTAAATCACATTTACTTCACAAAACGCTGCTACTAACGCTATTAACACCACGAAAATAGAATACATATTTTACGTTTTACCTAATTGAAAATAAGTTCAAATTTATCACTATTTTGTTTGTACGTGGCTTTAGATGTCTACTAATTGGGTCATAATCAGGAATTTTCAACATTTTTCGGAAAATCCTTTTTACAGGATTATAATTATAATAACTCACTCGAAACTAGAGGGGAAGAGTCAGCTAAAGTACTATCTTTTGAACAAATTAATAATTTCTTGCTGTGATTAATGGGTTATACTGAAGAAAACCTTGTGATCTGACTGCCCTGGTAACTATAAAACAGATTTCCAAAGAAAGAAGGCAGAGAGAAACAAAATACATTATACAGAGCTTGTCTGGAGGAATTCTCTTGTATCGTGCACTGAGTACAAGGCTCGTAAATGTTTTGGATCATTTCAATGTGTGCCTTAGATGCGACGTCTTAAATAAATAATCGTTTCCCAAATCAGACTAACTTCCAAACAATCGAAATTCGGCTGTAATCTGTCAGTAATATGCCAAGATGCAAATTAAACTTAATTGTAAACCGACGGCTGTCAAATTTTTTTCCTTGACTCAGCAGTTTTCTCCTTATAGAACTGATTAATTATGGGATTGCCTATGTAAATATTTGGTTTTATAACGGTTGGTATTGTTAAGGTGAACGTTCTTGAAGGTCGACTTAGTTTTAAGTAAGAGCAGCTGCAGCAATGAAGAGACACAGCGTACGTCTATGATTGCGATAATCCCGATTTATCGCCGAAATTTAAGCGATATTTTAGTTGGATATATCGGCGATATATCGCAATTGCCAGGCCGCGATATATCGTTGAGTTCTTCGGGAATTGCCGGACACCTATCAGTACCATTGTTAAGCAAACTAGTCCTACTACTGTATTATAATCAAGTTCTGTAGATTATCTTTAGTTCTGCGAGAAATTCACAGTCGAGCATTCATGTCGCCGTCTTAAGAGTCTAACAGGTTTACACGTCCAAGATGCCAAGATGCAAATCATGACTGGAAAAGAAGAGTGATCTTTTTTCACTTCAATGAGGCTTTTCGACGTAGGGGACAATTCTTTATAACGGTAAATATCATTTTCAGGCGTTAATATTTACCAAAAGTGTTGTTTTATGGAAGATTTTGGTTTAAATCGAAAAACTTTCAAAATTTTCAGCACAAAGCCTCGCTGGTGATAATTTCTGGTGGTGAATACTAGTAAACAGCAATTTAAGTAAGGTGAATCAACCACGCTGTAAACACGAGGAATTCTGGCGTTTTTCGCTTCGTTTGTGTAGATTAATATTTTTGAATGTTGATATGTCCTAAGAGCATTAAAGAGCATTGAAGAATGCTCGCTCTAAAGTAGATTTACTAAGTTTAAAAAAAAAACGGTATTCGTGATCATTTGCTCACATTATCGATGACATCAACTTAAGCTTAAGACTTTCTACTGATGGTCTTCAGTAATGATGTACAGTCTGCCCTGTTGCGAAGTTATTCAGTCTTCTCTATCTGATTGAAGTATCTATCTAACTGTTTGTTTTTCTTCTTCCTTTTTTACTTTTATGTTTTGGAACTTAACATCTGATTGGTGCTATTAGTGACTAGCTGTGGGATCCTGGGGAAGGATTATTTAGATGTGCGTATGACTTAATAGAGTGGAAAAAATACAGACGATGGCGTCAGCGGGAAACAGGTGAGGTGGGTGTAAGATCCGAGCCAGAGGTCTCTTCAATGGGACCAGGAAAGATATTAGATTCGTTCCCAACCCAAGCAAGCACCCCGAGATATCGAAGACATACTAGCATGCAAGCGGTGTAAGGAGGGAAAGTTTTATTGTATTGGATTACGCAACCTACTGGTGTTTCTTCATAGAGATTCACGTACTGAAAAATTGCGTGGCATAGCGTTAGCGTACAAGTTATGTTCGGATACCTCTGATATTTCTGGGGAGATCAGCAAAGGATACACACGTGCAATGGTGGGTCCTAAACTAATGAAGGTTGGAGTGAATGCAGAATAACTGAAGTCTGGCTCGTAATATTAAATTCTCTTAAGATTAATTGGATCGAGACACATTGTAATGATGTTGTCGTGTATTACATGAATCCGTTATTATTATTTGTTTATTTTTAACTATGCCGCTTAACTTTTTTATTCATTCTTTTTTTGAAAACCGTGATCAAATCATAACAACCCTGCAACACAAAGCTAAGCTCGAGCTGAAAATTATGGTGCATCTTGACGAGTAAACGGTGATTCGTTTGTTGTGTTGTTATTGTTCTAATGCACTAAGATGTATCCAATGGCGGTAATGCTCAATTTTCCTTTTGCTGTGTTACCGCACGAAATCGAGAAAAAAGGCCACCCTCCAGTGCCAAATCCAACCCTTGAAGTGCAATTTGAGCAGTTGTTTTTTTTTTTTTTGCCAACAATGCCAATTCTGGCCTTTGAGCTTATTTTCCCACCGCAATTAGCATTGAAACCTTCCTTGTTACAGTTCAGTTGCAAGGAGGCATCAGAGCCAATCAGCGACTTCCACGTTTCGCGGCCCAGTGATGTATTGCGATATTTCCCGTCGGCGATCAGTGAGAATAGAGAGTCAGCCTGCTTCTTGATGACTATGAACCTGAGCTGTTGATCGATCTTCATACCGAGACAGATCTGGGAGAAGGATGTATTCCAGTATGTAGGAAGCTTTGTTTCCTGTTCGTCAAAACCAGTTTGTCCTCCAGTGGGGTTAAGTTCCCTGTAATCACTCCAGTAGAGTTTGTTGTAATGAAAGGTTGTCTGAAGTGAAATAAAAAAGAAAAATCGTCTTCTTTAATTTCTTAAAAAACATTCGTCACATTAACCACAAAGTAGACTTCTATTTCACGCTTCCTGGAGAGGTTTTTCTTCAAATGCAGGCATTGATCAATTGACTTGATTCAGATAAATTATGTAGCATAAAATTCTTGTTACGTAGGATGTAGAAGTTGAATTAGATCAGAATTTTTGGTAAATATGCGTAGTGATTACAAAGCATTGACGACTTATCACTATTACTAAAGGGAAAGGGTGTTTTAGTCTAAAAATTGTGTTTTATTCGTAGGGGAGAACGGAATGGACCTCTTGTAATGTTCATAATTGAGGCGCTCTTCAAAACAATAAAAAGGCGTTTATTTTCCGTCAAACAAGGATATTTCCAATCTCTAACTCTAGTTCGTTATCAACTCGGTTATATTTTCAGGCAGCTCATTTATTAATAACATGTGTAAATAATTTGGACTTTAAAATATGCACCTTTGTGCCGTCAATCTTCATAACCGGTGTCCATCCTCCATCTCCACATCCAAAATTTCCCAGGTGACAAAGAACGGGGACTGGTTGGGAATCAATAAGGAGAGTAACCACAATGCTCATATTGGCCTTCCTGCATTAAAAGTATAATAACATATAAAAAAGTTGTGGAGATAAGGATGATGTTAACAATCATAGCGATAGTAAGACTAATAATGAGAGAAATAGCTGACAACTATAACGTCAAAAATATGAAATGAATAAATAGATACGCAATAAAATAAAAACAAGTAGAGATAAGTGAATATATAGAGTTATAAGAGGAAACAAATGCAAGAAAAGGAATGAATAAGCAAATACATGAAATTTTTTTTTTTTCTAAGAAGGCAGTGTCCATTAGCTAGCGTTTAATTTTAATAACTTGTGTCTTCAATCACTTTCCGTTTTTACTTACTTGCCCTTATCATAGAACTCTTTACACGAAGTAATTCCTAGGAAGAATTAAAAAGGATCTTTTATTAAAAGGTTTACGAGTTCCTTTCGATTGATGGTTAGTGTTTTAGTGTTAGTGTTTTGTTAGTGTTTTAAGTGAATATATAGAGTTATAAGAGGAAATAAATGCAAGAAAATGAATGAATAGGCAGATACATGTGAATCTTTTTTTTCCTAAGAAGACAGTGTCCATTAGCTAGCGTTTAATTTTTAACAAAATGCGTCTTTTTCACTTTCATGCACTTGTCATAGAACTCTTTACAAGAAGTAATTCCCAGGAAGAGTTGGGAGTTAGGAGTTAGGGATCTTTTATTGAAAGGTTTATGAGTTCCTTTTCCTTCTAAACTGTGAGTGCGCGCTTGGTTTCAAAAGTGGCCGAGAAAAATCAAACGCTTGCTTTATATTTGTCAACGAGATAATTTTCAGGATTCGGAGATACGACTTCAAATTTCTTTGGATTCGTTTTAGAAGTATCTTTGGCGATACTACATACTACGACGTCTAATAAGATATATATTTATTTAACCCAAGCGATTACCTTCGCATTCTCGTCCATTTCCAATGAATCCAGGTTTACACGTACAGTTGTAAGACCCTTTAGTGTTGTTGCAATAGGCATTAAGACTGCAATTATGTAAACCTCTGACACATTCATCTATGTCTAAAAAACAGCAATAAATGAAATTTCATATTACTACGGAATAAACCAACCAACCAACGAACAACAACAACAGCAATATATATATAGTATATTTTCGAGAAGGGCTGCTTTACATACTGGCGGTTCCATTCCTTTCTAATATGCAAAAAAAGTTTGTTTCCCTTTACTTATCTAATTGATATGTATAAAGTAACTAAGTTGTACAAAAATATACCAGCAACTCTGTCAGCCACAGAAGGTATTAAACTGCGAAGCAGTCATGCTTTCACTATTTCCCTTAAGTAGAGTTACAGTTGGACAACTGCTTCCGTGTTACTGATGTAACCAATTTTGGTTTAACCGTCTCCGTCCCCCCCCCCCCCTCCCAAATAGCTCAGAAAGATATCAAAATATAGTCAGATTAAACCAAGCTGTCAACAATAAACCTTACAACAAAGCTTTTGGTGTCTCTTCTTCACTGATTTTCTCAAAAGACTGACATGAGGGCTTTCGTTACCTTCACTGCATCTTTGACCATTGAATCCAGGTCGACAAATACAGCGATAACCTTTGTCGGTAAATCCACTTTGACATCTTGCGTTATTCTTGCAAGGGCTTTTGACACAGTTGCTCTGACATTGAAAGCATCATCATCAACATTGTCATTATTTTGGTCATAATTTTTGTCATTGTCATCGTCATCATCTTTGGCTTCGTCTTCGTCTTCTGCATCGTCAATTCTGCATCGTCAATATGGACGTCATAATTATGATGAGTCCTGCTCATTAAAATCGTTGTCGTCTTTGTAATTTTCAACGTCATCGTTATTATCATGGTCATGGCCGAAACTAGAACAAAGCATTCCTTTAAATGAGAAAGCCACTGCCTGAGTTCTAATTTTAATAAACCATTAAAGCAGAAATGCCAAGGGAGAAAAAGATATTTTCTTAAAAACGTGTGAATTGAAAAAAAGATATTTACCTCAGCAGCATGGTAGAAAAAAACTTCATGATCCTCCAACTGATGTTCGTATCCTTCGTGAGTGACATTATTCAGTTCACATTTGTAGTTTCCATGTCTATCCTCTCGTTTATCAAGATTAATGCTGACACAGTCGGGTTCCATATAACACAAGTTCTCACAGAACCTGGGATCCACTACTTCCACGATGCGAATCGTGTGTTGAATAAGACGTTTCTCTTCAAATGCTTTTTCAGGGCTAAATTCCAAAATACGACACTGGTCTGCGACGCAAAAGTCTTTGTAATGGAAATAATTGATAAATTGAGCGCATTAGAGGAATATGGGAGCTATTTAAAATCATTTCGCACTGACAATTTGTAATTGTTTTGTTCTATTTTGGTTTTTTGTTAATTTTTAATATCTTTCTTTGTATTTTTTCCTTATTTGTATTATTTTAGTTTATCTACGTTATCTATTTTTTGCCCGGTATAAAATTTTTTCAGTAAATTTTTTGCTATTTTCAAGACTTCAGCAATAAATCTCGATGTTCACCTCTATGTTGGAATATACGAGACCAGCTACCCTTACCATAGATTGCCGCTTTTATGGTTTCGAAGCTTTCAAAGGCTTTGAAAGCTTCGAAACCATAAAAGAAGACCTGGCGTATTTATGAATGTTTACCTATAGGCTATTTGCGTTTTTGAAGGGAAAATGTCAAATTAAGCGACATAGACTCTAGATATGTTTGTTTAACTGCCCCGCTTTTCATAGTAACGCCAATATTGCATAATTATTCGAAAACTGAGCCTGAATTATGAATAATGGTGTTCAATCTTTTCGCCAGAAGTTCTTAAGCAAGTTTAATATTATGGCTGTCAAATAAAATGCAGATGTAAAGGAAGGAAATGGATCCATCTTTAAAGTGTTACCCATCCCTATGGCTAGATTTAAAGAAATAGACCCGCTCTTTCTTTCGATACATCAATGTTGGTCCAATCGAACTAACTGACCCAATGAATGTTTATATTCCAAAGTAAAATTTTAGAAACGGCCTAGGCTAAAATAAATGTGACGAGCCGAGGACCGTGATATACTCGTCAGTAAAAAGATAATTCCTTACCATGCCTCACGATTACTACTAAAACTAACCTTGTGATCTAACATCCATTGATATCGTAAAAGAAATTTCCAACCCAAGGAGACGGATAAAAGTAGAATACATGGTGCTGAACGCAGCCTGAAAAGTTCCCTTTTGTTGTTCACGGAAAAAGGAGCTCTCAGACTTTTGCGACCAGCTAAACTTATAATGCAGGTCGACTACTTGATGAATAATATTGTTTCCATATCACGAGAATTTTGAGACAGCTGTCACAAGTACCATATCATGTTGCTTATTCTATCTACTTGTAAACCAAAGGCTGTGAAATTTGTACGTGTGACTTAGACTTCCTTTATTCATACACAGTGCTAGTTATTCTGTTATTAGCTTCAGTATATTGAACCGAGCTTGTGCACTATAATAAAATTATGTATCTGTTGTCTGACGGGATATAAAGATTAACTGATGACAGTCGGCTAGCCATGCAGTCGTCTAAAGCGCATTATAAGAATATCTAGAAGACACCTGCTATCCTTCATACTCATAATCCTGTCATCTTGTTAAAAATAACCGACCAACTTTTCCAAATTTGTTCTTCGATCCAAAAGAATAATTTCTGTGCCATGAAAATAAATAAAATCGTCCGTACTTGGATAAACTGTACCTAGAAACAACGTTTAATGAGATGATTAATGGAATAAAGAATTTTTTGATTGAGTCCCACAATGTTTATGTCAGTTACGGATACACTAAAACCAAAATAAATTTTGACGAGGGAACTTTGCAAAAATTATGACCTTTATGTTTAAGGTATATAACCTATATGGTTAAGGCCTATAACATATATGCGTAATGCATTCTTTGCCGTTATGAATTCGCGCATACTAAACGATATACAGACCTATAACAATAATGTGTTGTAAATATTTCAGCTCGAACATGAGTAAAACAGTTGGCTAACTAATACTTGTCAAATATCCTACTAACAATTCTTAGTTTGGTTCTGGCGAGGAATTTTATTTGGTATAACATTTATTAACCATCGATGGTAAAGAAAAAGTTATAACAAAATAATATTAATAATAACAATAATGAGTTAGAAAGACCGCAAAGGTTGGTGTATGACGTTTTTTTTTATTTTAAATATTATTCCCTTTTTATTTTTTAATTAAAAACAGTTTCATTTGAATTCAAGATCGGCTATTTTCTTAACTCACTGCTACAAGTAATCACATTGTCCTTACTGTGTTTTGATAAACGGGATCAGTTCCGATAATAAAAATAGAAAATAAAAAATATATATAAATTCCTTATCTTCAAAAGCACGAATCAATCTAGCGTACTTTTTTGCTTTTACTCTGTTGTGCTATTTGTATTTCTATACAGTTAAATGATAAACATTGCTTAACAAATGGTATCATAAGGGAAAGGTTTCTTAGCATTGATGATCAATTATAATTTAAACAAAGCTCCATTCCTAGCTACATTCTTGCTAGATGGAGCAGACCTTTGCTGTGCCTGCTTTATTTTCGAACTTGAATTTTCCTTCGCTTGAAAACAATAAACTATGGATTTACTTTCCCTAAACATTGCAAAGCAGAGTTTGAAAAACTAACGCCGCGGTTCTTCATTGACTGAAAAAAGCCGCAGGTGACATGTTAGGAGGAAGATGAGTGATGTCTTTTGATTTTTGCGACGGCAATTCTCGGAACGCTTTGAAATCATGAATGCTTAGTAACTCTAAACTTTAGCCCTACTTCCCAGGGACACTTTTGTGGAACCGAGTTATGAAGAATTGGTGTAAGTAAAGACTCGGTCGTAAGAAGATATGGAGAATCCCTTTACTTAGTTAAAGGACTTATGACTAATGATCTTGAGTTATACTGAAACTAACCTTGTGATCTGACAGCGCTGGGTATCACGAAGCAGAGCAACAATAGACGAAGACATATGGAAACAGAATGCATAACGCAGAAAGCGGTTTGTTCCCTGGTATCCTGGGCTGAAAACGGAGCAATTAGACGTTTGTTACACATTAAATGCGAACGTAAGATGCAACTTCTTTAATTGGTTTTTTTTTTTCCATGTCAGGACAAACAATAGAAACACAGCTGTCACCCGCACTACCATTATGATATCTCTTTCTGCTTGTAAACAGTGGCTCTCAAATTTCGTTTCCTCATTAAACTCAGCTTCCCTGTCGCGACACAAATATTATTAAATTTATGCAGTAAGTAGTTGCTTAAATTCCAATTGATATCAGTCGGCGCGTCTCAAGCACATGGCATGTATACCTCCAAGACACCGTTTGTTTTTTTGTTTTTTTTCTCATAGATAGAATCACTTAAAGGAGAACTGAAGCCAAAAATTGAGTTAATTTCTTTCGATAGCCAAAGTGACGAAATTCTTGATTTCAGGCGTTATTTGTGGTAAATGTGTCTTGCCTTGGAGAAATATTTGTTTAAAGTTTGTATTTTCGCGCTGTTTCGGCTTTCAAACCGTGGGCACCAATTTTAAATCAGCGGTCTTCCAAATGAGCCTGTGACGTATGTTATGGGGATCACTTTAGGACGTGTTATCGTTCGGCTAAATTTTAATGCAAATTGCTTCTTCGTCGACCCTTCGTCATGAGCGGAATAGAACCATTTCAGTTCGAACCAGTATATCAGCCTGGAGAAGAACCTCCTCAGGAAGAGAGTGTCGAACAGGAGGTAGAAGCTCACGAAGAAGACACTACTTCGAGGATGGGAAACACCGAATGGTGTTTGTGCGGCGCTTGTACGCTTATGCCGGTGGCAAATTAATGTTACTGCTGCCAAGAACTAGAGGAGCTTAATCAAAAGTTCGACAATTCAGGTTTGTACTTATTATGTGGTTATTCTCACGAGTATTTTGTTTGAAGCGGCCGCTTCTTTGCTAAGAGTGACAAAAGATGGACAATTGCAAACTCGATCTTAGTTGTAATTACAACTACACGGTCTGATGGATGAAAATTATTGAAACAGTGAGGGAAAGAAAATGTTAAGACTTTTTTCTTCTTTTTGGGTATTGATAGGTGTTAGATGTATAACAGAACATCCGAAATTTGGCATTGTATGCTTGGACACGGATGTTTTGAGCACGGCATTGGTTGCAATCCACAATGTGCGGCTCAATCCAATTCCCGACCCTATCGTCAATAGGTAAACTGTCTTTTTCTTTCTTATTTTGTACGCGTAATTAAGTCAATCGCTTTTGTGACTTTGTATCCTCTTGTTCTCTAGAACTTGGCGTTTGGCAGCCTACAGACAATTTACTTGGTGGGCACATGGGTATTAGGAAAAAACCGGCGGAGAATCGTGCCAGTATGCGTCGTCACGGCCATACGGAAAACATTTCCTGAAGAGAGCGGTAATTACGTGGGGTTTCGAGAGGCAGATCTGGAACTTTGAACTTTATCCGCAATGTCCTTTAATAATGATTAGTAACATATCCTTTGCGTGTATAACATCAGAGGCTCTTATTTCCTTATGTTACGGTTTCTTTCTAAAATTTGCCTGAAATATACAATTACTTATCGAGGATATGAATTACTAACACATTTCTGCATAGTGATTCATTCAAAAGCCATGCAGAGCCAAACGAATGTCATCCCTACTGCAGTTATTAAATTATCCACATTGCCAGGGATAGCTGCGTGGCCTGAATGAAATAAACCTCAAACCTAACTTTGATTGCTTTTTGCTACGATGATTGCTTTCATTTTCATTTGATTGTGTTATTGACAAAGTTATAGTATTTAATTATTCGAAAATCTCGATGTATGATTAGCAATGACATCTGCTTTAGGAGGCCGGGGTTTGCTAGCAATGTTTTCGGGAATGTGTGGTACTGTGACTGTTGCACTCCTCTCTTGTGGTTTTAAGCATTTTCTCTCTATAATGGCATTAAGCATTGGCTCGAGATGATAATTGGTTGTCTTCTCAAATATGGGCTTTGCCACCCATTCTTTTGTATTTTTCGGAAACACTACCTTGTATTGCAGCTCCCTTGGTTGGCACCCCTGGATACAGTGGCTTGTTGCCTACCAGTGTTGGCATTATGGTCTAGGGCTGCCAACTGAGTTCGAGCAATCATGCCATTATAAGAGAAGTGCTGCCGTTTGGGCGCATATTTGGTCTGCACACTATGGTACACCTCTAAATTGCCATTATGACAACAAAGTTTTAGTTGCTGAATGTCCTTCAACAGATTTTTATCGAATACAACCTCCTTCAATGCATTATGAGCAGAGGAGCCAGGCCTAAGCCACCTTTTAGTTCTTGCGATAGCCGGAGGGATTGGTTGGTGGGCACGTCATGCAAAGAGGAAAAAAAACCCATCTCTTGGTATTTTGGAGGTTGATTCATCTTTGAATTTCTGTGTCGCGCTTGTCACGCAACTGATATAATAAGTTAGAGAAGACATATAAACTGGAACTCAAATCTGGCTAGGATGTGGTAGAGCATAATTAACGTGATCAACGAAACAGCTAATAAAATCATAGATAAACAAGATAAGAGTGTTATGTTAGATTTTTTTTACAAGTTGTAGTGATTTATGCCAGTTAACGGTGGTGACAAGTAGGCGCCGGACTTTGAGTTCGTCTCAAGATAGAACAACGCAAATACATAAGGAAATTTTTACAGTTACTTTCCAACCATCCTTTGGTCTTTTAAAAGCTTGAAGCTCAGTAGATTGTGTCATATCGGTCATTGTTAAAACTGTCTTTGTTTTGATGTTACTTTTCGACATAGGAAAAGTATGTCAGACAAAAATATTCACCAAAAAATAAATATTTCCTTAGCAGCTTCAATAACGACAGGGGATCAAGTTTAGATAATAAAACAAAGGATTATGTTCACAGAAATACCGTAGGTCTAATACATTCGATACATGAGGTCACACAACTCGGGTAATATTCACCGTGAAAATTTGCATATTTGAGGGATCGAACGAAAAAAATTATTTCTTTAAAACTGAAATATATTTTTACAAAAAAACTACACCACAATTATTAGAACATATTGGGTGACTTGCCGCTGTTTGTTTGATGCATGCTGACATTAGCTCTTAAATAGCTCTTCTTTAAATACAATGTATTTGGTATCATCCTGTGGCTTTTCGCATTTTATTTCCCCTTGGTGTTCATTGTCTGATCCTGACATGTTCGAATCATCTGAATCTTCCTGTTTTGGGGGAAGGTAGATGCCATCTTTTCTTGGAGAGACTTCTGGGGAAGGAGCAGCTTCAGTTGCTTCTTCCTTGTTATCTTCAATTTCAGGAAGGAATACCTCTTCAGTCTGGGTGCTGCTTTCTGAAACATCAACCTCGACTTGGGTGTCAGTAGATTTCATCATTAAATGGAGACCACGAAGATTGACTTGGATTCCAAAATCCACACCCTTGTTTGGCAAATTCACCTGCACTGCTTGTGACTCAACCAACGTGCTTTTAGGCCCTAAATCATGTGGGAATGGATATGATGGGCTGTCTAAGGTTGATGTACTTACTCCACAATTCACAACATCAACAGGTGCAGGCTGTTCTAAAGCTGAAGCTGCATGTTCTTCGATTCCACAACTAGGTTGTGCAGTTACAGAGGCTATATACTATGACAGAAAAAATATTAACTCTGTTATGGTATGGGTTAGTGACCCCTTTGAGAGAATGAAAAATGTAGGTATGGGAGATAAACTATGCTACTATATGGTTATAGCAATGATTCAATGGGATTTTCTTGGAAAATATAACACCTGACCCTGCCCTCCTTTGGTTGAAAGCCTGCACTGGTTTTAACTTAGAATTTCCAGTTGTATTAAGTTTTTATTCACATAGAAGTAAAGAAGGTTAAAAGAATTCATTATTTAAAGAATAATATCCACAGAAGAAATACTTTTCTGCGAAAATTTAATCTTTCTCAATGGAACCTATTCGGGTGATATCCCTTAAGATATAAATTGCTATTGCCCCCAAACTGCATTCACCTTTCATTATTTTTTATCAATCATGCATAAACGATGAGCAGCTTCAAGAGTTTGCAACAACCCAAGCTTTGCAACAACCCAACCCAGTTGCAAGAGAGTAATTCACGATTCACTTACTTCTTTTCTGACTTTCTCTTCTGAACGTTTCTCCGATGAAAGTCGAGGTCTTTTTGATGGTTCCGATGCGAAAAAACCGTGGGTATTGCACCTGGTTTTAGCGTAGATCTGGGTTTCAAACCAAGAATTTCTGCTTTCAAGTCTCGTTCGTAGCAGTCAGGTGTAAAATGTTCTGAGCACAACCTGAAGTTTTTCGAAACGACCAGATCCGCTCGTGAGATCTTTGCCAGCCACTGTGATCGTAGAGCTTCATTCCTCGGAAAGCAATGGTAGGATATACCAGTTGTGTACCTCGAGTCGTTGTTACAATCGAACGCCGCGCAGTATACCATTCTTTAGCTCGAAAGTAATCGAAGTAAATATAGCAACGAGGGCTACTCAACCGCTAAGAACAGATAAAAGAATAAACTCTGACAACTCGGGCTTCCGTATTTGTACATCCTTTCTTGCGTAAGCCAAGAATTTAACCCATTATAAAGAACTTATAAACCAAAGTTCAACACGAATTTCAAAATTTTATTTCCTTTTGGACTTCTTGCGACATTGCTAACAGCGTGCGTTATCGTACATGCCATTGCAAAATCCAGACTACAAACGGGTCGCAAACTAATGTTAAAAAAGGTAAATAACAAAATATGGGAAACAGAATGGAAGATGAAATATCTTACATTACCAGTTTGTAAGAAAAATTAAAGTGGAGACCCTATTCCGAAAACATCGAGGTCAATCCAAGTATAAAAGATGCGCCGCTCATGATCTGGACACGTAACTACGTTTCAAAGACACAGGGTTACGAAAGCAAAAATATTTTACTCTTACACAATCCCTGGATAGAAGACTAATTTTCTAATATGAGAGGCGCTTGAATCATTTTTTGCTGCACCTTGCACAATCTTTACTCCTGGAAAACCACAAATTCTTTCCCGCGAGCAAGCCGCAGTCCTGAATTCAACTTGCCTGTTTCTTGCCGTGTTTACCTTCATCCCCATAACCTACGTCACACGCTACAAAAAGAACCGCTGACATTCGTGTTCTAGGCCGACGTACCACAGTCAAATATCGAGCCAATTATCACTAAAAACCCTTCGTTTTCTGGATGAAAACTGTCGTTCGAGGAAAAAAAATGACGGAAATTTGTTCCATCATACATAAATGTACCATACACGGTGAAAAAAAATTACATGAATTTGGACTTCAGTTCTCCTTTAATCTGTCGGCAGTGACCAATCGGCAATCTTAAACTAATTCTCATATCGATTATAATCGATTGGACTATACTAGGATGAATTGTACCTTGAAGTACAAAATGACCGTTACCGAGGTTAAGCAATGTTTATGTAATTTTATATCCAAAAATAAAAATGAGTCGCTTATTTTCGTAGAGCATTTTAATATTAATGCAGAAACTTAATTATCATGTGTTCTACCACAAATTTTCCGCTGAAACATGAGCCAAGAACATGCTAAGTAAAACTTGTCAAATCATCCTACATACAATGTTTAGTTTGGTGCCGTTAGAGACTTCCCGTATTCAACAGCTATGAAAAAGCTTTGTTTCTCAGAGGAAATGAAGAACTTTAACCACAGTCGTAAGTTTATTATTATTATTATTATTAGTAGTAGTAGTAGTAGTAGTAGTAGTAGTATTATGTAGTTATTATATCATTTTTCGCGCCAACCAAAGAAAAAAAATTTTAATCCCTTTTCGCTCCTCTTGGCTGTTTTTTATGCGTTAAATTATCAAAACAAAAATATTACTTCCATTCCGTGGGATCAGTTTTCAAATGCACGTGCCCAGAGTGTTTCTATTCAGAAAACGTGCGAGCAAACTCTAACAGAAATTTTGCAAAAATGAGTTCAAATACTTAAGTTTAGTGGATATTATATGAATTCATTTTGATCGACCTCGGCAGTTAATACGGCGCTAGTTATTGCGCATGCGCAACAGAAGTTATTGTTTGACGTGTCAAATAATGGGTAGAAAATGTGTGATTGTGTCTGCTGCCAAAGTCACGTTATGAACTTCTACGACAATAGAAGGCTCGAATAACATAAATAAAAAATGAGAAATTCATAAATAAAATTTATTGAGAGAGGAAAACGGTTCATTCCACACACAACGGCACGCTTATTAACCTCACAATTTTGTCAATACCAATTCGCAGCATTTTCTTTCCTATGCAATTCAAAAATTCATTTTGAACGGCAGCAAGTAATTGCCGAGTTTAGCGTGCATGGCTGAGCGCAATTTTCTAGCGGAGATGACAACAAAAGGAGATCCCATGTTGAAATCACAGCGATACACTAATGATGTGCGTTCACGCCTTGGATTGCATCGTCAAGCTGCACTTTTCCAGGGCTTAAGTAACGAAGAAACCAATGATCTTCTAGATCTTGATGACTAAGTAAATGATTGCTTTTGTTGTTGTTGTTTTTTCTTTTTTTTTTAGTCATATCCTTTTTATCGCACCAATATATATCCCATAGCTTTGATGTATTTCACTCCATTATCTGGATGGTGTTTTGCTACGTTACCGCACACGTTCGAATCATCTGGGTAGCCTCCAGTCCCAAAATCCGATCCTTGAGTCACACGTTAAGCACTCGTCCTCCTGGTTACTGACAATACCAATCCTGGCTTTTGATGACGATGCTAACGTACAAAATGCATTGAACCCTTCCTTGTTACATTTGTTTTGCAAAGAAGCAGCTGCACCAATAAGCGTTTTCCACGTATCACGACGCAGTGAGGTTTCGCGGTATTGCCCATCGGCGATCAGTGAGTACAAAGAGTCAGCCTGCTCGTTGATGACAATGAACCTGAGCTGTTCATTGATTTTCATGCCAAGACAGATCTTAGAGAAAGATGCGTTCCAGTAGATGGCCAACTTGGTTTCCTGTTCGTCAAACCCAGTCTCCCCTCCAGGAGGGTTGTACTCGTTTCTATCAGTCCAGTAGGAGCTGCTATAATGAAAGGTTCCCTGTAGAAGGACGAAAACTCGTTCAGTCGTGTTTTTCACTCAAGTGACAAATGTCTCACACTTGCGAAGGTGAATAACTCAATAAATAATAATGAATAACTTAAATGATATATAACAATGATAACGTGGCAAATGGTAGTAATAATTATAATATAATTATAACGTTTTATCTCATTTATTAAGATCAATCAGACGAACTCGAATTGAAAAAAGAACACAATAAAAAAACCTTGCTGCCATCAATCTTCATCACAGGTGTCCATCCTCCTTCGCCACATCCAAAATCACCCACATGACAGAAAACGGGGACTTGTCTTGAATCAATAAGGAGAGTAACCACGCCACTGAAGTCTGCTCTTTTTATTTAAAATTAAATTTTAAAGAGGTCTAGAGTAATTATAAAAATATTTCGTCTTATGTTTTTTTTTATCTCAGAAAAATTTACAGACTTCTTCCTTTGAGAAAAGATCATCATATGTAGCCTTGCTTCATGTATTACCCATAGGCCTCTAGTCCCCACTCGCCTCCCCCCACCCCCGAAAAAATGGGGAGGATAAACGTACTTATTTTAATACGTGTGGAGGAAAAGAAAGAAACAAATTTTGTAATCTGGCTAGCCCTCCAAACGGATCAGGATAGTTCAATAACGAGCCATTTTGAACTATTTCTCTTTATACTCGTGCGCTTGTAACGCAAGCAAACAAGAAGTCAAGTTACAAATAGAGTAATTAGCACGTGACCATCTCATATCTTGACTCAGCTAACCAAGTTGGTTATGGCAGTTATATATTGATCTCTTTCGTATATCTCAATGTTCTTTAAGTATCCTTCCTGACCTCAACAATCAACCTAAAAACGCTTCACGAACGTTGATTTTATTTACTTACATCTCTCCTGAGCTTCCTTGCACGTCGTAGTTCCTGTGGAAATTGAAAGATATCGACGATAAGGCGACTGCCGATTTATTTTTAATTACAAAAGAAATGAGAATTAAATTTTCTTTAAAGTAAAAGGTTACCATCGAATCTGCATTCTCGCCCATTTCCAGTGTATCCAGGTTTACACGTGCAGTTGTACGACCCTTCAGTATTGTTGCAAAAAGCATAACTGCTGCAGTTATGTAAGCTTTCAGTACATTCGTCGATGTCTGTAAAACAAATTAATGAATACATGGATAAATTAAATGATAAAAAGGAAAAAGGGGCTAAAACAGATTCACTTTAGAATAAAGTCGCTTAAGACCTCGTTTCAACAACCGAAACGGTCTAGTCCATAACTTTACGCAATTCTGATCACAGCAATTTCTACTGTTTGTGTGAAAGTTGTCAAATTCGGAAGTAAAGTATGATAACTAGTTCTCTGTAGCGTGATCATTTGCAATAGCATCTTACCAAAACATCGACATGGTTCCGATGTTGAAGTCCTCAATGAACGCCGTAGAACACAAATGATTTCCCAGATATATTCTAGCTTAATCTTCATGTTTTCTGCACATCAAATGGCCAATTCGGTTAAAAAGTCTACTTTAGTTCATTAGTGCTTTCATACTAAAAAGCAAAAGCGCAAGTGTCATTTACCTTCGTCACAATTATAACCCTTTAATCCAGCTGGACAAACACACCGATGTCCTCTGACCGTGAAACCGCTTTGACAAGTGGCGATATTTATGCAAGAATTTTTCACGCAAGAACTCTGACACGAAAAGAAAATCATTATTATTACAACCATGACTGCTAAAATTATGACCACCGGCAATCAGCAAGTAAGAAGAGAGTGTTAGTAATTCAAGAGCGAGCTTATCCTTGGATGTGAAGACTACGGCGATTTCTTCGCAAAATAAAGATTCTAGCTTGACAGTAGTTGGCTATTTTCAAATCGGTCAATTTTGCTGAAAATTAAGCGGGAACAACTGTAGAATGAGTTCTCAAGAAACTAGAATAGAACAACCTGTAGCCTAACATTTCTACGACACTAAATATCAAACTGGTGATAAAATTTTGAGCAATGCAATATTTGTTTCAGGCAACTATTGCGAAATCTATTGCCTTTTAAGTACACTTTTTGTGTGTGTCAATTACGGCTCACCATAATATATGCAAAATCTTTAAAATATATTACACGTACCTCAGCTGTGTGGTAAAAGTGATTTGGGTTTTTCCTCCACTCGTGTTCGTGTCCTTCGTGAGTAACATTATTCAATTCACATTTATACTTCCCATATACATCAGCCCGACGATCAAGGTTAATGCTGACACAATCGGGTTCCAAAAAGCACATCGTTTCACAAAATTCCTCCATCGTAACGTCAACGACGCGAATGACGTGGTTTATGAGGCGTCTACCTTCAAATGCTTTTTCAGGCCTGAACTCCAGGGTACGACAATAGCCTGCTTCAGAGAATGCTTTTAGATAGAAGAAATATATGTTATTCGCCAGCCGGGAGGTCCGTATTGGACCGTCACGACAATGTTTCTTTCAAAAATAGTCAATGGTCTTAAGGAAAGCGTTGTTATTTCTCATCAAGGATTAATTCATATACGACGATTTACCTCTGATCATTAAACAAAAAGCGAGGAAAGTAGTTGTAAGTAAATTCGATTTTTTTCATTTTAAAGTTGTAAGAGTTTGCTCGTTCGTTGGCTGCAATGGCGTGGAAATGTGGCCTTACCTCCACAAAAACTAAATTCCAATGAGACACTCCAACGAGACAAGAGGAGAGTTAATACGGCTTTTTCTCATAGAATTCCTTCAGGTCCTGCTGTGCAATTTACGGTACAAATTTCCATGAACGGACTTTAAAGACTCACCGAGAGGGTATGTTTGTTGTAGAACTAAAATTGAGCTCACCCTTTCACTACGAACACATTGTTTGAGAGAATTTAGATATCAAATCAATGAAAGTTCCATCGATTGGTCCAATTCAAATACCTCACGTTTTAACAATCTAGGTACTTTTTGTGAACAATTAAAATTAATTACAGACAGTTTTTAGGCCGCTTGTCAACCAACTTAATAACACTTTTGCTTATACAAATTTATTTTGAAACCAATATTTTTCTGTCAACAGAGGTGATTTTAGAGAGGGAAAAGAGACGATTAATTAATTTTTTTAAAATTTTTTTTTTCCTTCATAGATATTTTTTCAATGGGGTTGAGATCATGCGTTTTCGGAACAATGGAATATATGCGATCTCCATGCCGACCAGGCAATGCACGTCTGGAGTGAGCTATATAGCCAGCTATCACATGTACTTTATGAAGATACAAGTCAAGTGGTATATCACTCCTTTATCGTTTACTAGTCTTTCTCTGGCTGCTGTTTTGATTTAGACAAGTCAGAAGATTTAGTTTGGGTTAGCTGGCCTTAACCTTCCATTCGGCGTAAACATTATGGATCGACGCCTTGTATAAGTGGAGAAATGATTTTGCTGCCTTCATTAGCGGATAGATAATGTTAGTTACGTAAAACTTATTGATTAGGGTGAAATGCTTGACTTGAACTACACGCCCGTTGTCCCACAAGAGAAGGAAAAGGGAAAATGAATACGATCATACAGAAGAAAAAAAGAAGCCATCAATACATGGATATCTGAAATTGCTCTTTTTCCTTTCGTTCTTACAGTGAAACGTCCATTTTTTTTTCTTTTATCGGATTACTTTGTTGTGGATTTGCAAAAATTGCTGGCGCATTTGTCAAGCTCTCTTTCACGAAATAAAAATTTAGTACTACTACCCGAAATACCATCTCCAAATTAGAAAATTGGGGTTAAAGAGCCTATGATAGGTAAAACATATGAATCAGACTGAGATTTACCTTGTGCGGTTACAATCCTGGGTAACGTAAAGCATAAGATCGATAAAGGAACACAGACACAAATGGAATGCATGATTTTGAAAGCAGTCGAAGCAGGAAAATTCCCGTATATCTCCCGTAGTGTAAGATGTGAACTGATTGCAGGCCTTTCAAATGCTTTTGAACGATATATTATGCACTGTATGCTAAATGTTAACGCCTTTAATAGGTAAATCTCTTTGCCAGCCAATAAAAACTCGGATGTTGAAATTAGCTGTTAATTTTGTGTATTTTGGAAAAGATAGCGGTCACATTTGCTGATGCCTGTAATTTGTAATTCATATGCGCTTACACTTGGTCGATCTACAGTGTCTAAATGTTCATCCTTGATGCGCATTTTTTTTTTTTTTTTTTTGCATCAACGAAAAGTTTATGATTACCAAATTTACACAGTACAAAAAAAGGGCTTTAAGCGCATAAACGTTTTCCGCGACCATACTCTCTTTTTTAAGTTAGGACTTTACTCAAAGTGCTTTAGAGCACAGAAGAAAGTGTAAAAGTTGCTACTTCTGAAACGATCTGATGCTTAACGTGTACGGTCTAAGCGAACGCTAGAAGCATGAAATCATACAACGCAGATATAAGTTTAGATAAATCGACATCGTAAATTTTTAATCAATAGAATGTACATTGCATTATTTGCTTTTTGTTTTTTGATTTATAAGTAAACGAATACAGCAGGTGGCGGTTTGGTGATGTTTGGTGATCTGTTTTGTAAAGTCCTTACGGACAGGGGGAAAATTGTTATTTCTTTTCCTATTGCGGCTCCCCATATTTGTTTTAAAGTTAACATATAAAACAATTCCATCTTAAAACAGCTCAGTAAATATAAAAACTAGCAATAAATACATGAAATGTAAAAAGCTAAATCATAAACTGAAAAAAGCTATAAGCTAAAAACGTGACAACAAGACTATAAGGCATGTTCTAAGTGGCTACAACTCTGCAATTTACTTCAATTGAAGTAATTTGCATTCCTTGAAAGACGTAATTGAGAGGGCAAACTGTTCCATAACTCAGTTAGTAAATAAGAGAAAGAATTCTTTTTAAATTTAGGGTCATTTGAACATTATTTAAGAAGTTAAGAATAAATATAATCACAGGGTCCGACGGATAATGCTTTAGTCGTAGAACTGTTCACTGTTAATTGGTTAGAATCAAACCACGACGAAAGAGTTTGTAAATCTTTGTTAATGGAAAATTCAAGGATGGTAAGAGATACATCTGACAGATAGGCAGCCGTGTCATTGCCGTACATAGGTACCAAGAATTCAACTCATTAATAAAGATATTGACGAGCAGCGGTCCTAAAAGTGAAACTTGAGGGACACCAGTTTTAATTGATTTGAAGTTAGAGCATGCACCCGCCTACACTGACACTGACACTGACACTGACACACTGTTGGCGGCCCAGCAGGTAAGAGGACATAATTTCCAAGGCATGTAAGAGAAGCTATGGGCCTCCACTTTCACTAAGGCGGTGGTTAATCGCGTCAAAAGTTTTGCTCAGGTCTGCAGCGACCGCCGCGACAGCTTCCTTGCTATCAATGCAGTTTCTCCAATCCTCGGTCATTTGTCGCCACGAATCCACTCTTTTTTCAGGGGCACGTGCTGGTCAAGAACAACTTTAAAAATTGTTCGCCAATAAGCCCATACAACATTGACTTTGTCGTAAGTGTAGGCCGAAGACCACGGAACCCTTTTCAAGTCAACTAAGGCTAAGAGTTTAAAAAGTTAAAATTCTCTATTCTCCTACGCTCGATCTGGCGCGGCTTTGGCCTTATTTTTTCGCATGGTGAAGTTTAAGTCATAATCGCTCAGTCCAAGGTGTAAAGAGCCATTTGTAGCGTAACATTCCGCGTGACTAATTAACAACACATCAATGAGACTTTTATGTGTTTTAGTTACTCTGGTCGGTTCGTTGATTCTATTTAGGAGAGATAATCGATTGTAGAAGTCTACCAGCCTATTGTCAGCTCAGTCCTGGATGTGAATTCGAGCGCGATGAAACAGTGCTGTCGAGCTTTGCTTCGGCTAAAAAAAAATTTCAAACATATTTCTGTTCATCAACTCTTTGACCTAGTCGATTTTTTTTTAATTACGCTGTTGATGTTTAAACAACCAATCTTAAAATTGAACTTATAATAGCCACTTACGATCGACTGGTACCAGTCCAGAGATTCGATATCGTTGACTACGAATTCGTTATATTGGCTCCTTCTCTTACCACTATATAGCTCTGTATCCGAGTCGAAATAGGAATCAGACATCGGCGGAAGTTACAATAAGCTTTCAATTCTCTCAGAGTTTGTATAAAGATATATTAAGCACGAGATGACAAGAAGCTTTCATTGTTTGTATAAAATAACTTGGTTTTATCAACTGAGTTGATGATGTAAATTGACCACCGCAAAGGGTTTGTGAGCTAACTTTTCGAGCTTTGACCCTTCGTCCATTCGTTTTGACGAAGGGCCAACGCTCGAAACGTCAGCTTAGAAACCATTACGGTGGCCAATTTACATTATCAACTCGTTTGATGAAACCGAATTATCTTGATACACTTTTCCACCGACACAGCACCTCATTCTCTTTGCAACTTACCCCCCATTATTAATTATTTAAAGTCTATGACTGCATGGCTCAGATCAAATAACATCCTGGATTAAAGTTCCCGAAAATCCCCTGCTGATATCTTTTATACATCGGGCTTATCCCCGCTTTTATTAGGCTCTTCTGTATTTCGCTAATTTAACTTATGGCTACATGTTCGTTATTGTACCAGAATGTATCCCATCGCTTTGATGTGTTTCACACCATTATCCGGGTTCAAGTTTGCTTCATTGCCACACGTGTTTGAATCATCAGGTTTTCCTCCTGTACCAAAGCCGATCCTTGAGTTGCATGTGTTGCAGTCGTTCTGTTGGTTGCTAACAATACCAATCCTGGCTTTAGGGGAGTCTGTGGCCTGACAAACAACATTGAAACCTTCCTTGTTGCAGTTTTTCTGCAGAGAAGTATTTGCACCAACCATCTCCTTCCAAGTGTTGCGACCCAGTGACGTTTCGCGGTATTTCCCATTAGCGATTAGTGAGTACAAAGAGTCGGCCTGCTTGTTGACGACAATGAACCTGAGCTGTTGGTCGATCTTCATACCAAGACAGATCCTAGAGAACGAAGTGTTCCAGTAGGTGGGTAATTTCATTTCATTTTCGTCAAACCCAGTCTCCCCTCCAGGAGAGTTGTATTCGTTTTTGTCAGTCCAGTAAGAGCTGCTATAATGAAAGGTTCTCTTAAAAATAATAGGAAATATTTCATTAATGTTTTTTTTTTGTTTTGTTTTTTCTTCATAACAGCCATTACCTTGACAAGCCTGAGCAATCGAAAAGCAGGGTAACATTGTTTAGTTGATCTAGTTGACATTATCATTGCAGATCTCTTCCAGGATCTTATCAAAAAAAGGGATTGTACTAAAAAGGGACTCTGTACTAATTCAAAATTACTCTTTGCTCTATTGATCCTGGAAAAAAAAAAAGTAGTAAAAACAAACAAACAACAACAAGAGATGTACGCAAACCTTATTGCCATCAATCTTCATTACCGGTGTCCACCCTCCATCTCCACATCCAAAATCACCCACTTGACAAAGAACAGAGAGTGGCTTAGAGTCGAGAAGGAGCGTAACCAAAGTACTTTCTTGTATTCTATTAATTCAAAGTAATTAATGATGATAATTAATGAAAGTTGTATAACAACATTTTACAGCTCTGTTCCTCGGGCTTTCAAATCATAGTTGGGACATCTTAGATGGCCGTGATGTACCACTGTTTAGTCCTTGGCACTATCGAGGTCCGAAATAAAAGTTTACTCGTTTTACTTACTGTTTCTTGTCATGAACTTCCTTGCAAGTCGCGGGTCCTAGAATAAGTTGACATTACAGCAATAATGGGCTTATTTTTCCACTTTTTAAAAACTAACCTTTACAAAAACAGTTTTGTGACCCCTTGTCTCAATGGACATAAATTAGGACTGCAGATTCGTAACCCTTTATCATATCATCATCAGATGGCAAGCGTAGGTATGTTTGTGTTTGCTTGACAATCATACCACCCGTTATGAATTTGGAGAACAATATTTTGCTCGTTTATTCATCTGTTCATTTACGTGTTACCTGTAAATCGACACCCTCGTTGACAGTGTTGTCTGCCTCGGGCATTGCTGAACAGGGAAATGGTAAGTTTTCTTTTTTTTTTATTTTATTACATCTCATATCATTTTTTTAGGTTAAGTCTCAGACGAGTGATTGAGTTAAATCCAAAGTAGGTAAAAGCAAAACGTAGAAAAAGTCAAGACGCGGGAGAATAAAGTGGAAAATTCATTACTAGCAGCATTTAGTTCCATGCCAATTTTTTTCGGTGGGGTTGGACAAGGCAGTTAGAATAGGTGATAAAATGTAGGAGCGGAAGGGAAAAAACACGTTTCAACTTAGACATGATACAAAGAGTTAAATGCGAACCTCTCACATCCCAATTAATCTCGACCTTGTACGCAGCCCCCTGATTCCATGACATCATTCGCATCATTTTTTCGACGAGGCTCTAGCGAAGGCCACAAACCATTACACTAAACAAGTAAGCCCAAAATTTCTTTTTAACATAATTCTTTGTGCGCACATTTATTTTCACTCACCAAAAAAATAAGAAAAGATAACTCAATAACTATAGAATGTGAAAAGGGCTAAATCCACTGTTTTTGTTGTAAAGTTTTCGTTGTTTGGTCTATTTAGTGTATCGTTTGTTGGTGACATAAGTGCAACACAAGCGTAGCATAGTATCAATTACGTTTCACATTTGCGAAAAAAAATTCTTTCACACCCCCTTGCCAAGGCACTCACCATTGAATGTCCTCAAGAATCGTCGCAAATACAAAGTTTACCTTTTTCACAAGTTCGACCACTAAATCCAGCGGGACACAAGCAGTAACATCCAACGTTGGTATAACCGCTTCGACTAGCGGCATTGTATTTGCAAGAGTTTCTTGCACAGGCACTCTATCATTGAAAGAAAATAAATCCATCATTGTCACAATCATAACCACCATCATTTGGCTGTACATCCGGGAGCATTTGTAGCAAAAAAGCGGGGATCATCGAAGTCTTTTTTTTTTTTTTTACTTTTAAGAAGGTTAATAGTGGATCCCTGATAACTTCCCAGACATTTTTTCTTTAGGCTTGCAAACATATTGACATTATGGTAAAAAAACAAATGCAGATGAATAGCACAGACCAACTCACCAAACCAAACCACATTTTAAGCTTGGCTATGGATATTAAAAAACACCACTGAGTCTTAATCAGGCAAAAATCAGAAGGAAAAACGTGGTACACTGATGGAGTGTTGTGCTAGAATGTTTTGGTGCGGCAAAAATCTTATTAAAACAGGGACATACCTCAGCTGCATGATAAAAATAACTTGCATTATTCGTTAACTCGTCTTCGTGTCCTTCATGGGTAACATTATTCAATTCACATCTGTACACTCCACGTCCACCCGCTCGTTTATCAAGGTTAATGCTCACACAGTCGGGTTCCATATAACACATAGTTTCACAAAACTCCCTCACCGTGACTTCAACGGTGCGAATCACGTGGTTCACGAGGCGTTTTCCATCAAACTCTTTTTCAGGCCTGAACTCCAAAGTGCGACATTGATCGGCTTCAGAGAATTCTTTGAAAACAGAAATGAGTCATATTTGAAATGTAATAAACGATAACTTGTCTTGATTTCCATCTCGATGTTTGATGTTCCTTACGGTGGACAAACCCTCAAGAAGTTGAATGCCTTTATTAAACGCTGAGTTATTTTTCATCGATCTAAATATTAAAAGTATTGTTACGGTAGCAATAGATTGTTGACATTGAGATAAATTTATCGTGGTTTGAAGTAAAGTAATGAGTGAGAGTTGAAGTTAATGTCAACACTACGTGAAACATTTAGGAAATTACTGTCTGAAACTAGTGATATTTCCGGAAAATTCTGCATGAGTGAGGGTGGATAAGGTATCCCCAATCGTTCAATAAAAAAGCCGAAAATATGTTATAAACAATTAAGTGAACGTTTATCCATCTACATGCAAATGACATTAACGTAAGCTCTGTTAAGGAAATTGTGAATTGAGGGTTTTTTTTCGTTTTTTATATCATCATTTTCATGCAATGAGTGAGAATTTATATGAAAACTGGAACTTGAAATCTCTAATAATTTTAGACGACCCAACCCAAGGACTCGAGCCTGCTATAGACATATCGAGAACTGAATTAACCTCTGAGACGGAATAAGGACCTCTTCGTTGTTGTTTATTATGGTTACAATGTTTAGAAAGACAGCCTTGCAGTTATGAACTTGCCAAAGCAGAAAATTTTAAATTGCTATCTCCACAGCGTTAATGATTATTTTACATGGCGTATGGATTGCTGGCTACCTGCCAAATTTCAGTGACAGAAATTGAACTTTTGTTACATGTGCTAGATATTTGAATAACTGAAACTTACCTTGTGTTCTTATAGTCCTTCCTATCATGGAGAATTGGACTATGAATAGAACCCAGGTATAAACAGAATACATGGTAAAGAACGCAGCGAAAGAACATCTGTGTGGTGGCCTAAATTCACAGCGCTTTAAACTCATTTAAAGCATGCCGAACTCACAAAGACAGTGGTGAGAAATTTTGCACCTGGAGCTTTTCAGGCTTTTTACAGCCAATAGAAATTCAGCTCACGCAAACACTTTAGCAAGCTATTACTTTGTTTACTTAAGAGACAATCGCTGTTCAATTTCCCCTAGGACAAAGCATTTTGCTCTTTCCTCCCATTGGTTGGTTATTTTGCATCGCCTCTCAATATTTAACTAACATATTTGACCTATGGATGAGTGAGAAAAATTACTTAACAACAATATGTTTCACTTTTGCCCCGGGAATTGAAGATACTTTTTCGAGCTTTGCTTATCTATTGGTGAACACTGAATTCTGTGCTCACTTAAAAGTGTTTTTAAGTGTCTGATTCAAATATGTAGTTAACAGAAAATTCGTTTGTCCATGTTTTCTTGTGCTGTTAGTCTCTGTCACACGATGGCGTCATCTTTTTCTCTTAGTTTGTCAGTTTTAGGGCACCTTCATACCATCATGAATAGAAATTCTGCTGATTTGACTATGAATATGATTTTAAGCTGGGCCCAACAAGATTAAAATGATAAAGTGAATTTCATAGTTTCATAATAGAGGTAACTTTCATCCCAATCGAACCTGAAATGAGCAAGATAAAATTGAAGATAGGGCATGAAATAGAATTTGATATTGATTAAGTCATGCACGTAAACGTAAAGAGCCATGTTTAACATTACTACCCGTGCTAAGAATATCATTGTCTTTTTTCTCCCTCACAAAAATTCAAATTCGAACTTGATCGAACAGCTATAATACTGATTTTATTTGTATCGTAATTATTTGCACATTCTGCTACGCAACGCCTCCTGGCAATAACTAACAGTATAGCAGTTAAAAGTCGCCCTGTACAATTAATATCAGCTTGACTGAAACAATCGATGCTGACTCTTTGTTAAGTAACACATAATTGAATGCGAACTCAAAACCTTAAATACTAAATATGCTTCTGTACGTTCCGCACTTATTTTCTACCTCCACTCCATTTTGTTTATGTTTTTGTTTGTTTGAGTGTCTCATTTTTTCCTTTGTTCTTAAATTTTTTATAATTTCCGTGTAACTGGGGATTGATATAGTATGTCTACAAAAAGCTGTTGCAGAGCGCAAATAGTGAGTGAGATGAAAATTAAATAAGCATGAGACAAAGGAGTAAATTATGTCTTGGTTGAACTGCAGGTCACAGTATTTTCCCGCGTAGGGTTTTGAAATCTGAAAAAAGAAATAAGAAAATAAAAAGGTTTATGTTGGGATGATGCAAAGGTGTCTAAACGACCTCAGTGTAACCCTTAGTGAATGAATCAATATATTAATTATATTCAGTATTGCCATTGTTTTTGCGTGTGTATTATTGTGTACGTAGGTCGCTCTCTGGCAATAAATTTGGATAATAACTGATCGTTTGGAATTTTTCTTTAAAACCCCAGACAAGAAAAAAAACTTAAAAAAAAGACTATCCGCATTACTAAATGAAAACAATAAAAATACATAAAACCGAAATTGTGAAAAAGTATCAACATTTTTCTCCCTTTTGCCTCACATCTCTGGATACCACAAACGGGAAAGGTTTAGGTTGGGTTTGAGATTTATCACAATATAACGGATTCATCCAATCTTATGTTTTTGGAAATATTCATCTTGAGAAGGAATATCTTTGTAGAAAAAGGTCATGCTGCTTCATTTTGCTGTTTGTAATGTAACTTGCCTGTGTTATTAAATGCATTAACTTTCATAAGCAATTCTTTCCACTCACCAAGATGTCTACTACATATACGTGTCTTGAAATGATTGTTGTGCAGTTACAACAAACGCTGATGGCGTAAACAAGTCCGTTTGTGTCCCACGATTAGATTTTACCAGGCTACGCTTACTCGTACCAACATGGATTTGCTCCTGTGATTCCAAATGAGCAACATCATAACCTTCCCCTTCTGCAGGGGCTAGAGCGAAACTTAGAGCTCCGCTATCTTGAACGCAATCAGCAATGGACGGTTTGTCTATCATTCCTGTTTCTAGCTGGGTGTCAAGGATATTCGTACCAACCACACCTTGAACGTCTCCTTGCATGTCATTTAGAGGAAGAAGCAGAGCCAGGCAGCACGAGAAAGACCATTGCGGGTTTTTTCGCCATTCATTGAAGTACTGATGCAAATATACCAAATACTGGACTATAGAGGAAAAAATAGCATAAACTGAATGTAAATACTCCACTCATATCTTTTCAGATTCTATTTTTTAACTGTTTTATCATTTATCATTTGTAAATTTGATATTATCATTATTTCTAACCCCAAGTAATTTGCACTCCAGTAAGGGTAAAATGCTGTAGGTTTAGAAAAAATATCAACATCATGATCACTTTTCATGCTTTACGACTCAAAAAAGAAGGGAAAGAAGCTAACTCAATTTATCATTTCGGATCTCTTGGTCCAACTTTTTTAATTTTATAAGTTAATGAAATTTGAGATCGGAAGTACCTTATTGTCTGTTGATAATTTGTCAGCTTTTCGGCGTTTTTTTTTTTAATTTTGCATTTAGTTTTTACTTTGTCTATATTTTGGCTTATCAAACTGCTGCATGGCTAGCACTTTGCTACGTAGAGACTTTAATCATTGATTAAGCCAGAAAAAAAAAATGACAGAAAAATAAATAGTGAGACGTTTCCATTGTTAGTCATCTCTCAGCTAGGCAATCTAAAAAAGCCGAAAGTGGAACTTCTTACCAACAAGTAGACCAAGGACCAGAGAATTCGCTCCAAGTATCAAGATCTTCATTGCCAGGGTATCAGTGTTTATGTCGAAATCCTTTGAAACATTCTCAACCGGAATCCTGCTCACTGCTCCCACACCCAAATTCACAACGGTGACGGCGAGGGACGTCGTCATCAACCTGTTCTCGAACGAGTCCTGTATGGGTTTAATCCAGGAGAAAAGGACTCCATACATTCCAGCAACGACCCATGCCAAGCCAATGTACGATCTGCTCTGTTGTCCCACTAGGATGAGGACTGATGTGAGGATTATTTTGCGAGACGTTTCAACCAGTTCCCAATACCACGAACGAGATTTATAGTTTTCGTAAAGGAAGCGCAATCCTGCAACTGCCTCTGAATCATAGGCCGGTTCACCAGATGTTGATGTCGGTAGTACTTTTCGATGTCTCCAGAGAGCGATGAATGAGGCGGTTGGTAATGCAAAGATGTAAGTAGTTGAAATGTAGGCAACAATTTCGAATTGGCTATACATTGGTCCATGGCACTTGATGCTGTAGTCGGCTTTTAGGTATTCGTTGCACGAATCTTCATTTTCATCTTTGCAGAGTTTCCTGCACGCGAATGGTAGAACATTAGCTGTCTTTGTGCAAGTACTCAGGTAAGTAACATATAGAAAGAAAAACAAATTTCTGCACACAAGTTCTTTGGTCTCTGATATCTTATTCAGCCTTTCTTCATTTTCCAAGCTTCTTTTTCTGATGATACATACCTTGCGAAAACCATAAACCAGAAAAGATAGGGCGATGACAGTGGCATTAATTGAAAGAATTAATGACAGATCTCCGAAGGCGTCCATCGACAATCCTGAGGAAAGACAGTGAATGGGAGAAACCTGAAGAAAATTCATTTGCAGTATCCCCGAATACTTTGCTACATCCTGAAGCGAATCTGGCCATTTAATATAAGAAAATGCTTCGAGCAGGCCATGCGTAACCTGATAAAAGCCGATGACGATTTTTAGTTTGGACAGGATTGTGTCTATTAAAAACTGTCCTCTTGTCCTCCCACTCTTCTGCCTTCTCTTCCACACGGCAAAAGCAATGATTAAAAATACTATCGTAGCAATCATCGACATCTGTCCCAAAATCCACGGCTTTGAAGGACATTTAATGCAGGGTTTTAACTGCTTGTAGTATCCTGAGCTGCAAACTGCACAGAGAGGGCCCTCGTATCCAAGTGCGCATTCTGAGTCCAAACCACCTTTGCAGGAGTCTTCCACTGGACACTTGTACGGCGTCGGAATAGGATGAGGATACTGCACGGAGAATTCATCGAGAGCTGGTAATGACGCCAGAAGATTCTTTATGAAATCTTTGTAGCGATATTTGTAGGATTCGTTACGCCATTGCCACCAATGACCACGTTTCAATGAAGCATAATCATCCTGACATATCAGTCCACTTTTCTGGTTACATTTGTAACACCCGTGAAATAGAAGGGTTCGATAGTGTTCTTTCAAACATTGACAAGCACGATATCCAGCGAAAAAGTCACTTTCCGTTCCTGAAAGCGTTAAAGATTTTGAAGCAGACTCTTTCTATAGCTATATAGTGTGTTTGTTTTAAATATTATTGAAGGAACGTACTTGGGGCATAAGATATACAAATATTTCCTACGATCGCCTCTTTCCGGTGCTTAAAGTGCTTGAGGTGTCCCAAGACTATTGCGTTCATCAGCAAGGAGGTAGCCAGCTCGCAAGCTTTCATTGCTCCTGAGACACGAGCAGCAAATTCCACGTGTTTCGAACGGGAAAGCGATGCGAGCGCGCGAGAGTTTCGGAAAGGTTATGGCACGCAAACGAGAGGCTCTTATTCAAATTTCAACTCCCCACCTAAGTCTCACAAAATCGCTCCAATAGCCGGATAGAATTTCGCAGGTCTTGCGGCTCGTGCTGTAGCACCAATGGGAGCTTGTCATTAGGCTAGCAATGGAATCGCCAGAGTAATGGGAATACTCTCATCTCCTTTTTCAAATACATTTCTGTTTTTCGACGGTTGACACTTCGTTTTTTGTTTTTGTTTTTTTTTTGGTTCACATGTCCGAATCTCAACACAGAATAGGAAGCAACCGTAATCTATATTAACTTAGAAACAATCATGAAGATGATCATGATTCAGTCTAGAACTATACCAACATAATTGACATAATTTTCTTTACCGAGGGGGCATGTCTTGCAATCTAAAACTGATTTTCCGGGCCTTTTGTCGTAAGCGACATATGAACCTTTGGGACATTTTTTACAGCCTTCTGCCACGTAGCCAAGAGTATCTGAGTAAAATCCACCTGGAAAAAAGTTGAAACCAAGAAAGAGTTCGTAAAAACTAAGGAAAGAAAGATAATGAAGATCGTATATAACAGCAATCAGCTAACACATTTTGTTGGATAACTCATTTCATTACCCAACTTAATCGATTGCTTGGATGACAATACTGCTTTAGCTGTACATATTCGTGATCTGATAATCTGTACGGAAAGTTTCTGCAAGCCTATGAAACAGCTTTAATCTGCCAGAGCTTTTACATCGTAATAAATTTCAGCTGTAGAGTTTTTATTCGTAAAATTTGTTTCCATTTTTAGGACAAAATCTTATTAGACTGCACTTCGACAACAACACCAAAATCGAAAGTCCGCACACCGAGCCGTGTGCACCAGTTCAAACGCCGTTCAGCTATTTGTTTACACAGCCATTTCGAGGAAGGTTGTCGGGAAAAAAAAAAAAACGCGATAACCCCGCGATATCCTCGAAAGATATTGTGAGTAATTTCATGTCACGGTCCCTTGACCAACAGATTTCGGGGAAATCTGTAGGTCAAGGACAACCTTTCTCGAAACAACTGCACTCGTGGTACACTAATTTCCTTTAACCAAATTGGTTTCCATTGCCTCTGCTCAAATTAAAGCCTTCACAGAGCCCTCCTTAAATTTTTTTAGAAAGTACTAATATAAAACGCCTAAACTTGGCATAATTTCAAATGAAAGCTGAGATCAAGGACAGTTAACAGAACAGCCATAAATCTTGAATGCAAATCCACTTTGCAAGTGATTTCCGTTCTCATGCAAATAGCACTTTAATTAAATTTCTGAATTAAAATCCTGTTAGTTTATCGCCAAACTTTTTTTGAATAAGAACAATGGCAATTTTTTCTTCTTAGTGAGTATTTGGGGAAATGTAGTCGTGAATTTCTGAAGTTCTTTAACTTTTACTGCGCAGCCCACAAGTAAAGCTTGAAACGTAGCAATCAGGGCCCAGTTGTTCAAAGGCCGATTAGCCCTAACCCAGGGTTAAATTTTAATTCAGGTTTCTTTATTCCTTTGTCCAAAAGTCAATTATTCTTTTTAAACATCCAATTCAAATTGCAGGCAAAATTTGAACTAAAAAGCTTTCAGACCGGAAATCAAATTTCACACTAACCCTGGGTTACCTTAACCCAGCTTTGAACAACCCGGGCCAGTTAGTTAATATCAATTGCAAATTTAAGTTTAATGAATTTAAGGAAAATAACATATTTCTCGATGTATTCAGCGTTCAGATTTCCCACTTCGTTTCCTCCAAACCAAAGGCCTTCAATAAATCAAAATCTGGGAATTCTTCTTGTGTGGCGCCATTTCTCAAGACAGGAAAATATTGTAGTTTTCTTTGGGTTTCCGGGATAAAAGCCGATGTGTTTTTGACAAATCACAGCGCCATTGTGTCCAAGTTATGTTTAAAAAAAATGATTACCAGGAGGACACTCCACGCAGTTTTGGATTTCTTCCCCAGAAAAGTTTGAAAATGTCCCTGTCAGACAGGGCATAAAAATCCCCTCAGATATTTCCGTAAACCCCATGGACAGCAGAGCGCGTTTGAAATCGTAGCGGCTTGATTCGGCTGGCCTTTGAATTGCTTTAGCCACCTGTGCATTTCTGAAAGGGAATCGATAGTCCTGGTTAATCCAAATTAAAAAATCCTCTGAAGCGTGAATTACACTCGCGAAAAAAAAAACCCGGCCAAGAAATTATCTTTATTAAGTGCCATTTCTGTAATACTAAAGGCAATTGGCAGTTTATTTTTCGAATTCACTATTCCAATGCTAAGCCATGTCTACATTTCAGGGCAAACTTGCGAGATATTTGATAGATTCTAAAATCACAAACTGGAAGTATTCGACAACGCCAACTGTGTCTCCTTGTAAAACGAGGCTACTCAGACCATATGAAGCGCTTAAAGGGCAGAGCTTAAAAGTTCAAATCCAGCCAATCGTTAGTCGCGAAGAATCTCTAGTTGCCTATTGGCGAATCAAGACTACAAGACTACAGTGTTGCTTAATGCCATTTGTAACTTTATACAGGCAAAGAGCGTAGAGATTCGAAATAGTTGCATCTTCAGTACCGCAACTTGTCTTAGTGTATGTTGATGCACTTCGACTGTTATGTAACAAAAGGCGTATACTGACATATGTATTGTGTAAGAGGCTTGTTGTGAATAGTATGTCACTGTCCTTGGAGTGCGATTCCACGCGACACTAGAAAAATGTACACAGTACAACACCTGGATTAGCTATACATCTCATGTTATATATTTTCATTTTGTCTTCCAGATCTAAGGTTTGTTAGAAAGTTCTCAATAGTATACCATTCAAAACCATTATTGAACTCGTGACTCTAGATATGATTCTTAGTTTAAGTTTTAAAGTCAAATATAGTCTAATTATGAAAACAAGCCATGTTATTAGTTTGGAAGAAGTTAAAGATCTTGATTGCTTGTCGATTTATACAGTAACACTTAAACCTCAGTCTCGATGGGAGACAACGTTTACGGCAAATGCTAAAAAAACTAAAGGCCAGCTGTAAATTTCAACCTGTTGCGTTTAAAGAGAAACAAAATGCTCAACTATTTTAAGGCCATTGCTTGAAAATTTGTCAATTTTTAACTAACGATTGGTACCATTGATACCCTCTTGAAAATTACCATAGAGCCAGTCTGAGATAAGTTCCAGGCATCACAACTGAGCCTGAGAGAACTCAAAGTTAATGCATTTTTTAAAATGATGCTCTTTTCGTTAAGTTTCAATTAATCTCTTTTAGTATTTCTTAGGTTAAGAGGATAGCGAGAGTTTTCTTAGCCAATCACAAAACAACATTCGACACAGTTGAACATTTCTTAATCGGCAAAATGCTCAGATGAAATTATGGTTTAAATGGTAATAAAGAAATATCACAGTTCAAAATTATCAACTGTCCTGATCCTGTCAAAGGATTCGAAAGTCAATACTTTCAAATCTGTCTGTATAAGATATCTGCAAGGAAAAAAATATATTTTGATAAAAAAATGGCAAATATAAGAAAATCTTAGAAATTTAGAGACACCTTTTGAGGTGACACGGTTGATAGAAGAAAGAGTGGTTCATGAATTAAGGGACATTGTAAGGGTAGAATTTAAGGAAAATCGAGAGATGATTCTTTAAAAAAAAAAACAACTCAATTTCAAAGCTTTTGATCCTGAAAGTAAGCATAAAACAACCGTCTCTATGAAGGATCCTATTCAACTACAAGACACAAGACATTGTGCACAGTTGTTTATAAAAAATTGTTTCCTTTCCTACGCTGCTTTACGATGCCACGCCTTGTAAATTCCTGCAAAAGTCCTGCAAAACCAAACTGTTTTTAAAGTACACTGTTCCCTTCCAGAGGCTTTAAACATGGCATTTTAAAAAGAGCAATGCAAACTATACTAGCCTCCTTTACGTTACATTGCAAATACAGGTATCTTCACTCACAAATCGCTGTCAAGACAGAAATGGAGCGTGGAACTTCAGGTCATAACACTTACATGTTTAGATCGTTAGAATCGAGACGAAATGCTTCCTTCCCAACCGCCTTAATGGGGTTATATGAAAGTGCCCTAGAAAGACGAAACACCTTAGGAAAGTTCGCCGGATATATATATATATATATATATATATATATATATATATATATATATATATATATATATATATAGAGAGAGAGAGAGAGAGAGAGAGAACACGAACAGCTCATAAACCAGTGCTTAGATACACTTATGGACGACGGAGAATTAGAAGAAGAAGTAGCTAAACTCTTAAGACCAGCACAATCAAGGACTCCTATATTCTATATGCTCCCCAAAATACACAAAGTTAACAATCCAGGTAGACCAGTAGTATCCTCCGTGAACAGCCACACGGAGAAGCTATCAGCTTATGTGGACGAATTTTTGAGACCTAGAGCAGAAAAGCTACCGTCATACGTACAAGATACCACACACTTCATTAAGCGAATACGGAGTTTGGGCAAGTTACCCGAAAAGTGTTACTTAGCAACTCTGGACGTATCAAGCCTATATACGAATATAGACACAGACGAAGGACTCACTATTGTGGAGGAAGAGCTAGGCAAAACGAACCAGAACAAGCCATCACCGATGACATTATCGTGTCTCCTCGAGAAGGTTCTTAAGCTTAACAACTTTACCTTTGGCAATGAACACTACATTCAAATCAAAGGAACAGCCATGGGAACCAGAGTCGCTCCCAACTTTGCAAACGTATACATGGGTAGACTTGAAGAAAGATTCGTGTACCAAACAGAGTGGATGGACCATATCATACTCTGGGTACGCTTTATAGATGATATATTCCTTATCTGGAAAAGTGATAAAGACTCTTTGATTAATTTCATAAATTACCTTAACAGTGTAGCACCCTCAATCAAGTTTACACACGAAATCTCTGCACATTCAGTGAATTTCCTTGATACGACCGTTCTAAAGGACAATCAAGGCAACATCAGTACAGATGTTTATCAGAAACCAACTGATACTCATCCATACCTCCATTGGACATCAGCACATCCACCTCATCTGAAACGGAGCATCCCATACAGTCAAGCCTTGAGGTTGAGGCGAATATGCTCTTCAACAGACACATTGAAGAAACGAATCCTGGAATATTCGGATTTCTTTGTAGCGTGTGGTTATGCACAACGCAAAGTTCTCCACGAAATGCAGAAAGTGCTAACATTGACTCAAGAGGAATGTTTACAGACCAAAGAACGTGAACCAACAGATCGAATTCCTCTGGTTACTACATTCAACCCCCATACCACATTTATTACAGAAATTGCTAAACGAAATTGGAACTTTCTCAAATCAAAAGAAAGATTATCACTCATCTTCAACAAGCCACCTTTAGTAGCTTACCGACGACCGAAAAGTCTACGAGACAGACTTGTTCGTTCAAGATTTGTAAATGAAACACCTCAGAATTTGATACCAAAGGGATG